ACGACCCGCGCGGCAGGCGAGCTGGGCGCGCAGCGTGGCAACCTCGCGCCGCAGCTCCACCAGCTCGGCCTCCATGGCCTGCAGCTGGGCGGACTTGCGTCGGCGCGAGCGGCGCGCAGCCTCGCGCCGACGCTGCATGATGTCCTCCAGGCTGCGGGAGGCGGACCGAGCCTGCAGCCCCTGCGCGGGGAGGGCCCAGAGGTGTGTGTAAGTGTGTGTGTGAGTGTGTGTGTGTGTGAGTGTGTGGCAGGGTGGGTGGGAGGAGCCGGTGTGGGTGGCAGGGGTCAGGGGGGGGTAGCGGGGTCGGGGGCCGCTGGATTCCCAGGGGTCATGGGGGCTGCGCCGCCCCGGACCCCGCTGCAGGCCGTGCTGCAGGCCAGACCACCCTCTAGGCCACGCAAAGCATGCGGGTGCTGCCGACGGCATGTGAGCAACACGCCCCACCGCACACACCTTGCTGTTTGGTGTTCCGTTGCTGCGCTGCGCCTCTTCGCCCTCCAGGCTCTGCGAGGGGGAGCCGGAGCTGCCCGGCCTGGTCTCGTTCTGGGTGGTGCAGGGATGCAGCGTGGGCGCAAAGGCGGCCATGGGCCCCGGGGCTGGCTGGCGGATGTAGTTGAGGTCGCTCATCTGGTTGGGGGGAGGAGGGGGCAGAGTCGGAAGCAGGGGGAGCCAAAGGACCGGACCAGAGGCAGCGCATGAAGAGGTGTTGGAGAAGCCTGGAACTGTGCCGAAACACACCGTGGAAGGTGGGGATGGACCGGGGTGGGGCACGGAGGCTTGCTGTGAAGTGCCGTCCAACGAGCGGAGCAGCTCCACCAAGGCAGCGAGGGCGGAGGGCGCCTCACCGAGCATCCCGGCCTTGTACGCAGCACCTGCGGGTCCAGGGCAGTGCAAACTGCTTAAACAAGCATGTTCACTCCCAGCCATGCGCCTAGACGTGTGCCTGCCCAGAGCACCGTTAGACCGGATGTCAGGGGGGTCAGTGCGGAGAGGACTCCTTTCATCGTATCGAGGAGTTCGCGACGCCTCCCCTCGCACCTTCCAGCTTGTGCCCATGTTGAAGAAGAGACGTGGCGTTATTCATGGCCATGGGGCTCCTCCACACCAGAGTCCGCACCCAGGTGTGAGGTCTCCAGGTCGGCCTTGTGGTCAGCTTCCGCAAAGTATACTTATCCGAAGCTCTACAGCAAGCTTCTAAATCACGATGGAGTGTCGTGCGAGAAGCTGCTTCAACGGCTCTGACTGAGGTATGGTGGGGCAGCCTTAGGCAAATCTCCCCCGCTCTCCCTACTGCGTCGTGGTTCGTGATTACGTTATTTCCTGGGGTCCCTCCAGATTCGATTCCACAACGCATCAACTGACAGCCGGAACCCCACAAACCCTGTGAAACGCCGTGGCATTGCTTCCTTAATACGAGAACCGCGTTTAACTTCTCTAATCATTCGTCCCACTTGCGAAGTTGTCGCGCAGGCCGACACGAGTCGCTATCGCTGCCTCCAGGCAAGGTAGCCGTGACGGAGCACAAGAACCACTTCCCAGGGACCTAGCACACAAATCTATTTGAGGGGAAGCAAAGAAATCAGACACCGTCTAGAGGGACACCTCAATCCCTCTCAACAAGCATGATGTAATGTAGCCACTCTTGGACCTGACCTCCAGAAGATGGCGGTGCGGTTGCATGAACCTCATCACCCCAAACACAGCCTCTCTCAGGAGCTGATAGATGGGATTATAACATGATAGGCAGAACTCTGACCACCCTGACACACCTACAAAAAGGGCGTGGCCTTTCCTGTGCCACGGCGGCGACCAGGGCTGACTGTTGATTATCATGTGATGCTTCTCTCGTCACCATTGATCTGAATGATGCGCAATACGCCGTCCACAGAACAGGGTGGTGGCCCTGATGGTCCCTCTCCGGCATGTAGAAGCTCGGGATCAGGGTTGGGCGAGGCCTCGGAGTTCCTCATGCAGAAATCTCGTGTGTCAGACGGGCTGTGCGCACGCGCCACCCAGGAGTGTGCCATCTTCCCTCCCAACAGAGCCGTGCAGTCTGGTCACCGCGGGTGCTTTTTGACAATCAGTGTAGCGGCTGATCAGAGTGCCTTGAATGGGTGGTTGCTTGGTGTTGGTCCATCTGCTTGGCACCTGGACTCGAACTCCTTGAGTACACAATCAGGTCTGCAGTGGGGCGATTGTGGAGATTCGTGCAGAAGAATCGTTCTGCAGCCCATTCCCCCTTTACACCCCGCCCCTTCCTCACATCTCCAGGTCCAGTACCAGGTCCGCGGGCGCGGCAAAGGGCAGGTCTATCCTGGAGTTGGGCAGGCGGCCGTCGTGCGGCGCCCACCAGCGGTCCAGCCCCACCCAGATGGAGGGCAGCACGGTGGCGGCGCCACCCAGCTCCGAGGCCAGGACCAGCGCGTTGCGCATGCTGCGCAGCTGGTGGTTGACCAGCGCGAAGTGGGGCAGGGTGGAGGGCAGGGCGTACGACAGGTTGGCCTGCGTGTGTGTGGTGGGGGGGAGAGGAAGAGGATGAGGGGGGTCAGGGCCGGGGGCGCAGGGCTGGTGCCCTTGGGTGCCTTGCAGGTAGGCGCTGGGAGCCGGCCGGGGCCCACAGAGAGGGGGTGCCCGACCTTCTGGCAAACACAGCGCGCAGGTCACCTGTCCTCCCATGCCATGAGGCACCGCCGCGGATCCCAGGCGAGTCCTACACCGAACGGGCGTCTCACCGTGCGAGCGGCCTCCAGCAGGGCCTCCGGCACGTCATTGTCGTAGGAGAGGAAGCCGATGGGGTGGGTCCACCACTCAGGGGGGTCCTGCGCGAGGGGGGTGGGGTGGGGTGGGATTGGTATGCCTCAAGGCAGGACGTTCTGGGGGTAAGACCAGCAGTGGGCAAAGTCAAGGGGCGGGGCTGCAACATGCACAGGGGCGAGTCGCGCGCCGGGGCGCCAGCAGTGCACCGCCCCTCGACGGCGCGCCAACCCTGCACGCGTGACGCCCCCCACCGTGTCTCCCCGCCATCCCTCCCTTCCCCCCTTGCGGCCCACCTTCCAGGCGCCCCACTCCCTCAGGCGGTGCCGCTTCCCGGCGGTGCCCGAGAACTGAAAGGTGGCGTGTATGACGTAGGGCTCCAGCCCCAGCTTCCTGAACAGGCCCTCCTTGTAGGTCTGGCCCGAGCAAAAGATGGAGACGGGCAGAATGCCCACCAGGAGTGAGCCCTTGTAGGCCCTGCGCAGGCGAGGCGGGTGGGGCGGGCGATCGGGCTGGATTCGCGGCGGCGGCGGGGCGAGCGGGGTGCTGGGAGGGACTGATCCTCTTGGACGCCCAATGCCCAGAAGCCGAGGGCTGCAAAGTGCGCGTGGGCACCTCCCAATGGCAGCGCCGAGCCTGACGCCAGGCCACCTCACCCTCCCCAACCACCACCATTTGACCCCAACGCCCCCCCACAGGGCCTCCAGCACTGCGTACTTGAGCAGGTTGTCGGTCCGCCCCGGCACGTCCTGGGCATCGCTCAGCAGGATGTCGTTGAAGGCATTCTGGTCCCAATACTTTTCGTCCTTCTCCATGGCCTCCGTCCACTCCTGGGGTCAGCATGGGGTGAGGCAGAGGTTTGGCTGTCCAGGCCACGGACCCGGGGCGCCTGCCACCAGGAGCCCCTGGACTTGCGTGGCACTGAATGGCGCGCTCAGAGGCAGAAGCCTTCGGGCCTTTCCCCCGGCCGCCCTCCTCGTGTATGCCCACGGGGTGTGCTGAGCCCTCCATGGCCCCACCCCCTCCCATGCAGCGATTGCACCACCCCAGCGCCCCTGCCCGCCATCCCACGTGGCACACCTTGGCAAAGGCGAGGGCCTTGGGCCTGAAGAGCATGATGCCGATGTTGGCGACCCCTCGGCTGGAGGCTGGGCCCTCCAGGTCCTCGGTCCTGCTGGTACTGCTGACCACGTCGCTGGAGGCCAGCACGTCGGCGTCAGGGTACTGCGCAGAGGGTTGCGGCACGGGATGTTGGGCTCCCAATGATTGGCGGTGTGGGTTGTTCAAAGGCAGCCCGGGGACAACCCCGAGGGGACCAGCATGCTGCCTCACCCGCTTCATGTAGGGGATAGGGTCCCTAAGCCAGACCGTGTCGACGTCGGAGATGATGACGTCAAAGCCCATTGCCAGGAAGGCATTCACCAGGCCCACCTTCTCGCGGCCCTGGGAAGGGAGGAGAGGTGCGGGGCCTGATGGCGGCAGTGTGACACGCCTGGTGACAGGGCTTCAAGCGGATGCAGTTGCATGGGGTGGTCGAGGGTGCACGCCAGTATTGCCATAGGTATGCTTTTGCACACAAGTGATGGAATTTCTCACCCAATTCAGCCAGCACATCCCAACTTCCACACAGAGCCTCGCAATTCCTCGCTCAGCGGCCGCAAGCACATCCCTCTGGCCCCATCCCGGAGCGAAATGCCTGACATCCTACGGCATGCCTACCTGCTGCACGCAGATCCCTTGCAATGCCACACCACCCCAGCAAGCAGCAGCTCACCATCTTGAAGAAGGACTTGCTTCCCCAGCCAAAATCGGAGGTGGGCAGGCCCGAGCTCATGAGGAAGGTGGGGATGCCGTTCTCCTGCAGCCAGGCCAGGAGCTTGTCGTCCATGGCCCCCACCACAAATGCGCTGCACCCCGTCTTCTTCAGGTGGTAGACCCAGTTCCCCACAAAGTCGCGGTAATGCCAGTTGGCCCAAGTGACCATTATGTACTTGTCCTGCGCCAGGGGCTCGATGAGCTCCCTGGTGGTTGAGTGGAGTGGAGGGGTGGGTGGGATATGCGGTGGAGCACGGAGCATCATACATCAAGGAGCATGTGGGAGGGGTCTCTTCATGACTGCATGACAAGAGTGGCAGGGAGGCCTGCATAGAATACCCCAGCCCCAGCCCTCCACCACCGGCAAAGGATCCCAGCCTGACCAGGTCTTGGCACATCACACATCACCCCTCACCGAGTGAGGGCATCCTTCCCCGTTGCCTTGGCTTCCGTGGCAGAGGAGTCCAGCTTCCCATCATCTGTCGCGGAGTCCGCTGGCCTGTCTTGGGACTCGTCCCACTCAACCAAGCCCCCGGTCTGGTCCTGAGGTTTGCTGGAGTCGTCGAGGGGCTCATCCTTCCCCGCTACGCCTTCCCTTGTGACGGGCTCATCTATGGTGCCCACACCTGACCCATCGCCTGCGGCCCCCGCGGCTGGGTTGCGCAAGGTAGACGGATGGACGTCACTCGCAGATCATACAGGATCCATGCACATGATCACGACATCGTTCTCTCTTCAGTCACGGGCTCACCCCTGGAGGAGTGGGAGCTGAGCGATATCCTGCCACTCACGCCCCAGTACACTTGCTGCAGCGGCTTCCCGAACAGGTACACAACCCCTCCGGTCAGCAGAAGAGCGAGGAAGAGCAGGCGCACGCCACTCCTGGCTCCGGTACTCGGCTCATTCATGCGAGCCATGAGCAAGGAACCGGTAAGGCACTGGCAATCTCACCCTGCAACGGGGTCTCACGCGAGACAGCGCATGTCTCCTCTGACTCAATGGAGGAGAAGATCTGCAGGTATGTAATTGTGAATGCGACTGTGGATCCCCGCTCGCCTCTGCATCTCGCGTATCGTTCGTCCGGACACTGCGCGCGCGGGGTGGGGACCCCCCCGTGGGTACTGCGCATGGGGGTCCCCCCGATTCATATTTGAAGTGTCGTGGGCTGTGCGATTGCGATGTGACACCCTCGAGGCTCTCGCGTCTCATCTTGCTGCTGAAACTACTGCTATAGTCCTCTCTACTGCTCCGATACAAGCTCGGACGTCATCATGTCCATCCTGACCCCGGGGTCGGTGGCCAACCTGAAGGCTAGCGACGCCTTTTCCGAGGCCGTGACGCTCAAGGTGGGTGGAACCGCGTCGTTGGACACAGGATGGCACGATGGCTTGGAAAAGGATATGGAAACCCACCCCCCTGCATCGGCCCATGTGGCGCAGGTCCAACAGCTGCAGGAGGGAGTGAACGGCAAGTACAAGTGCCAGTTCTCCGATGGCAAGGAGAACATCTCCGGCATACTCACCTCCCAGGTGCGTTGGATTTCCCCTTCGGATGTGATGGTCCAAAGCTTGTTGCAGAGACTGCGCTACTTCCATGCATGGCCCTGCAGGAAGACCATGCATCTCCGTGCACTCTGCCCAGCGAGGGCCACGCCTGTACAGCCCATCGCACTGCTTTCCTCCTCCTGCCTGGCAGGTCGGAAAGCGGCATGGCGCACAGCTGAAGGAGGATGATGTGGTGTGCATCACGGAAGCCAACATCAGCTCCATCGAGGACAGCAAGGTGCTGATTGTTGCCGGCATGGACCTGGTGGGTGACCGGGAGCCATCCTCACCGGCCCCTGCTGCACCCAAGGCCGAGGCCATCAAGCCCGAGGTGACGCGTGTGTGGCAGCGGCCGGGCCATGCGAGTTCTTGGAGGCTGATGAGGGCCAGACATTAGAGGCTGAGTTGGATTGCGCGGTATCATCCGCTGTCTTCTCTGGCTGCTGGGTAGGGCCCATGGCCCGACACATTGGCATACACATCGAAAAGCATGGGCTTTGGTGCTGCACAGTCTTGATGACAACCCGGTGCACCACCCCACAGGCTGCCACCCCCGCCCCGCTCAGCCGCCCAGCCGCAAGCCCCTACGGCGCCCCAGCCTCCGCCACGCCCATCAACCACCCAACCCCTCCCTCCGCCGGCTGGTGGGTGCACCAGCGGGAACATGTCGGTCCTGCTCATGCGGCACTTGTGGGGCCAGCAGACCATAGGGTGCAGGGGCCTCCATGCTGGGCTTCAAATCCCTCCTCCTCTCCAGCCAAACCTCCACTCTCTCCGGCACAGGGCGCTGCGCAATGGGGGTGCCACCCCCCGGACCATCCAGCCCATCGGCGCCCTGAACCCCTACAACAACAACTGGGCCATCAAGGCCAAGGTGGTGTCCAAGGGCCAGAAGCGCAGGCAAGTGGACCGCCGGTGGCGGGCCGGGCGGAGGCATGGCTGCGTACTGTGTTCCATGGTACACATTGCAGGCAACTGGTGCCCATGCACGTCTATCTTGCCATTGACCAGCTTGCGGTCAGGACTTGGACCAAAGGTCCAAGTCTGCAAGTAACACAGCATACGCCTTGCTAGCCAGACCCCGGACCCAGTCCCAGTCCGACCCCGAGACGGGACTCGCACGATCCCTCGCTCACTCCATCCCATACCGTCCGCCCTGTACCTCAACCCTGACTCTTCCCCCTTTCCTCATCACCTCGCAGCTTCACCAAGAACGGCGCAGCCACCAGCGTCTTCTCTGCGGAGCTGGTGGACGACCGCGGAACGAGCATCGAGGCCACTTTCTGGCGCGAGGCGGCAGACCGCTGCTACGCCGCGCTGGAGGAGGGGCGGGTGTACACGCTGGCGCGCGGCGCCGTCAAGCCCGCCAACAAGAAGTTCTCCTCCGTGCGCAACGACTACACGCTGCACTTTGACGCCGGAGCGGAGGTGGAGCCGTGCGGTGAGTCAGCATCCGATGGGCGGGGTTGAAGCTCGATCCATGCCTGCCCATGCGCTGGCTCCCCTGGGCGGGAAGCGAGCTGCGCTGTATACTTCTCCGCCCCCAGGCCCTTGCCGAGCCTTGCCCCACCATGAGCGCCCTCCAACACCCCCCACTCACCCACACCTCCCCATCCCCTGCTCCATTGCAGAGGACGACATTGATGTCAGCCAGATGCAGGCCAAGCTGGACCCCGTGCCCATCGAGCAGCTGGCGGCATTTGCCGACAAGAAGATGACCGTCGACCTCCTTGCCGTGGTTTCTTCGGTGGGGCCGTTGGGCAGCGTCAAGCGCAAGGTGGATGCCGCTGAGCTGGCACGCCGCGACGTCACCCTTGTCGACCAGGGGTGCGCGCGGATTGGCTGAGTGCCACCTGTACTGTTTCGGAGGGGCAGCTGGGGGCTGGGGGAGTAGCTGCGGGAAAGTCTGCGAGCCACACGGTCAGGGCTGATAAACATGCAGAGGCCTTGACCAGCTGTGGTACCTGCCACAGACCCCGGCACCTCCCACCACGCATGGATTTCTCCTCGCTTCCTAAACCCCTGCCCCAACACCCCTTTCCCGCCCCCCCCCCCCCCCCTTGGACTAGCAAGAAGACGGTGACCCTGACGCTGTGGGGGCCGACGGCTGAGGGCCTGGGCGCCGAGCTGGAAAGCAGAGCCGCTCAGCACCCCGTCCTCTCTGTCTCCGCCTGCCGCGTGTCGGCCTTCAACGGTGTGTCGGTGTCGACCCTGCACCGCAGCGTCCTGAGCGTGGACCCCGCTGGGCCTGAGGCCGACGCTCTGCGGGCCTGGTGGGCGGGCGAGGGCAGCGCGGCGCCCACCACCCACGTCGGAGAGGGCCTGAGCGGCGCAGCGGGGTGAGAAATTCTGGGTTAGGGGCTGGGGATTGGCATGGGGATGGCGGCGCTGGACTCGGATTTTGCCCGGTGGTGGCGGTTGGGAAGCGAGCCGAGCGCCCTGACAAGGGGGCGCAGCTTCTTGCATCCGCGGCATGAGCCTCGTACACACAGGGGCGGTGCCGTGCCTCGCCGTTCTTTGAAAGCCGCACCCTGTCGTGAAGGCACTCCTCCTCGCTTGCAGCCCTACCCTGACTCCCCCCCAACAAACATTCATATGCCCACAGGCGTAGCGGTGCCCAGGCCGCCTCCAACGCCAGGTTGTCCCTGGCCGACATCCGCGAACAGGGGCCCACCTCCGCTGGGGTCAAGCCGGTGTTCAGCTCCGCCACCGCCACGGTGGCCAGCATCAACCCGGACCAGAGCCTGTACTACGCTGCCAACCCCGAGAACAACCGCAAGGTGCAGGGAGAGAAGAGGAATGGGTATGTGGAGGTGAAGGGTGCGGCGCCGCACACCCCATTGCCCTTGCTATCCACGCCGCGATGCGCCCGTGCCCGACTCGCAGGTCGTGGAGCAGGGCCCCGGCCAGTGGTACTGCGAGTACAGCGGCACCACCCTGCCCAGCATGGTCAGGCGGTACATCCTGCAGGTACACTTGGCTGAGCCCCCTGCCAGACTGGATCTTGGTGTGGCTGGCTGCATTGGAGCAGGGGGGTCCGGCTCTTGCCGCAGGGGTCTGGCCACCACCGGCCGCTGTGCTTTGCAGTGAGCACGCTTCGAGCCGGCATCCACCCCCCTCCCATCTCCCCTCGACTCCTACTTCCCAGGCCAAGGTGGTGGATGAGAGCGGGGAGTGCTTTGTGCAGGTGTTCAATGACCAGGCGCAGGAGCTGCTGGGCATGTCTGCCGACGACCTGGCCGCCCTCAAGGACGCCGAGCCATCGCGCTTCCTGGCCACGCTCAAGGCCGCCAGCTGGAAGGACTGGGCCCTGCGGGTCAAGGCCAGTGCACAGTGAGTGGGAAAGGTGGTGGAAAGGTGTATGTACATGCTCGAAGTCAAGCGATGGTGGGAGCCTCATCCAATGTAGAAAATATAGTGTTGACCTATCCCTACAGGTACAGACGCTCAAGTCCATCCCTTCATCCTCATGCCTCGTCGCAGGGAGTACAACGGTGAGCAGCGGCAGCGGTTTGCGCTGGCGGAGATCAAGCCCCTGGACTTCGCGGCGGAGAGCAGGAGGATGCTCAGTCTGATCTCAGGCCAAGCCTAGGAGAAGAAAGCTTCATCCCTTCTTGACCTGCTTTTGGTCTGATCTCATTGATTCTGGAACAACACCTAGTCCCCGATGTCCGGTCTGGAAACCCCGCCGGCATGACTCGCTTTGCCTCGTCAGCAAGCCCTAGCTACAGGTCTGATTCATCGTCAGCTGGCCAGGCACTCGCAAAAGGGCTTTGGTAACCCCATTCGGACAACCTCGCAACAGCATCTCGAAGATAATACTCGGCAACCATTCGCTGCCGAAAGCCAGGCTGTCTGTGTGCGTGGAGAATACGAAGTCCTGCCTGGCCTGCAACTCTCCCAGCCACTCCCGGGGCTCCGCGGGGAACATGGCGATCACGCCCCATGTCGATTACGCCCTGGACTCCCAGTTACCTCAGGAAGGGCTGATGCGGGGTGTGCGAGAGATCTGCCGTCGCTTGCTGCCGGAGTGGGCATGCCTGAGCGACGCCGATGTCGAGGTGCGGTGCTGGCCCCCGATTAAGCGATCTGCGGTCCCATCCAGCCGTGATTGATAGACAGGCTGGCATACCTCTACATAACACACAGGTCACCACAGTGACTGGAGGCATCAGCAACGCACTGTATAAGGCTGCACCCACCGGCAGCTTGGAACCTGTGCTGTGCCGTCTATATGGCCTGAACACCGACCGATTCATCAACCGTGACCATGAAGTAGCCACCATGCAGCTGGTATCCCAGCATGGCTTTGGGACAGAGGTGGGTGGGGCTTGCTGAGGCCGGGTGGTGTCGTAAGGATCCCACATGCATTGGGCCAACACTCCACAATCTGGTCCCTACCGTTGCACCTCACCCTCGCCTTCTGCCCTCCAGGTCCTGGGAACCTTCACCTCCGGACGATTGGAGGCTTTCCTCCCCCAGAAGTGCCTCTCCCCCGCCCAGCTCAAGGACTCACGCATCGCCGCAGCCATCGCCGTGGCGCTGCAGCGATTCCACAGCATCCCCGCCCCCGTGCGTGTGTTTGTGTGTGTAATTCCAGGTGGTCGTGCTGACGATCTTGCAAGGATGTGGCGTAGCTTGCATTGATCCCAGCCCCCCAATCTTGCCACCTGAATGAGCACCCTCTCCACCCCGCAGGGGCCGCGGACCACCAACACTCCTTTCAAACGTATACATGAGTGGCTGGACATCACAGAGGGCTTCACCTTCAAGGACGCCCAGGTGCAAGTGGTGGTGGGCGCGCCGGCGCTGGATTCAGCTGTGTGCTGGGCCTGTGGAGAGGGTTCGTCGCCAGCTCTCGTGGAGCAGCGAGGGCAGATTTTAGTCCTGTGGTGCATGGTATGCTTCCATGATTCGGTGTTGCCCAAGGGGCCTTCCCTCCGCCCGCAACCTCCCCTCCGTCCATCCCCCACAGAAACAAGCTGAGTTCGAGGCCTTTGACCTTGCAGACCTGCGCCGCCGGGTGCAACAGGTGGAGAGGGCATGCGCCGCCGTCGGCTCGCCCACCGTGCTGGCTCACAACGACCTGCTGGCCGGGAACGTGATGGTCTCCGACGCTTTCCTGGCTGCCGGGACCGTGGCTGGCGAGTCCACCGCTGCCTCGCCCGTGTCCACCACCTCGGCCCGCAACGACATGACCTTCATCGACTTTGAGTATGTGGATTGGGCGCCACGCGGCTACGACTGGGGCAACCACTTCAATGAGTAAGTTTGTTTGGGTTTGTTTTTATCTCGGGGGGAGGGAAGAGCGCGGGGGACAGGAGGACCAACGTAGGGAAGAAGCGGCGGGAATACAGGTGGATGAGCATCAAAGGACAGGCTTCAGTGCTTGGCGCCACGTGCCGATTGACGGCTTGAGGATTGACGGGTCTCGTGATACGGGCAGACCCCACCGGCCCCGGGGCAGATTGCGCTCCTGCACTGCAGGGGCCACCGACTATGGTGCCCTCTTACAATTCAAGTTTCCCCAACGCAGGTACGCTGGCTTTGACGGCGACTACACCCAGTACCCCAGCGACGAGGAGGCCGGCGCCTTTCTGCGCGCCTACCTGGCGGCGGAGGCCGGCGTCGCCCCGGCAGAGATCTCGGCGGACGCGGTGGCGGACGCCGTGGCGGAGGCCAACGTGTATGCCCTGGCCAGCCACCAGTACTGGGGTGCATGGTGCTTCCTGCAGGCCCAGTGGAGCCTGCTGGACTTTGACTACCTCGAGTACGCGCGGGTGCGGTGGGCCGAGTGCGCCGCGCGCAGTGAGGCCTTCCTGGCAGCCGCCGCGCAGCGCTTTCCCGTCCAGGAGGGCGCCTGAGGTGCTGGGAGGCATGTGCGCGAGGCGCTTCAGGCATTGAGATGCCAAGGACACCAACATTTTCTAAGCCTTGCGGCTCGCTGGCCTCGAGATACCCTCCTTTATCCATGCTGCTGCTCCTGCTGCTGTTATTACAGTGCGATGGTGTAATTTCAAGGGACAACAAGCCGGCATGGCCCAGGCTTCGGAGCGGCTGCATGCAGGAGGAGGAGACCAGGGCACTGCAGCATGTCCGCGCCTGGGCCGCGCATGCATGAGGTCACGGCTGTCGAGAGGGTTGGAACAGGGCAGCCTGGCCCAGGTCCCAGCCTTGGAGCACGGCGCTGCACACTTGATGAAAAAGGGCCCGCCCCAAAACCCTGTGAGCTGGCCTGCAAGCACCCCTCCGTCGAGGTCATCGCCCACGTTTCTGCTGAAAGGCGAGGCCCTTCACACCCTGGGGGTCGCACACGAAGCCCATCTTCTCATACATGCCCACAACCCCCGGCTCTGCACCGGAAGGGAGGGAAGGTTGTGCTGTGCAAGGAGCTCGCCCATGCCATTGACCAGTCCCACCAAGGCCCCCCGCCTTCCACCCCAGGCAGCACAAAATTCCCACGCCGCCGACGCGAGCCAACCCCTACCGGCGTAGAGGGTGATGGTGGGGATGCCCTGCGACGTCAGCGCCTCCAGTAAGCGCTCCACCAGCGCCCTGCCCAGCCCGATGCGCTGCCAGCCGGGCGTGACCTGGCACGGTGAGCGTGTTGAAAGGGAAATGACTGCTTATCTGGGCATGCGAGTTTCTGCACAGTACCATCCAAAGGAGCAGCCCAGTGCTGTGCACCGCAGCAGCCCTCGTGTATCAGCTTCCGCCCCTCCTTCAGCACCAAAGGAACACCAAGGTCCCCCTGGCAACCACTCACCGCCACGTCCCAAATGGTCGCGGTCAGGGCCTTGTCGCTGGTCGCCCGGGCAAAGGCGAGCAGCTGGCCCTCCCGCGCCATGCGCGACTTCCGGGTTGCACGCACCCACACCGTGCAATGCGTGTTGCTCAGCGCCTCGGCGAACTTGGCCTTGTCGCGGCGCGGGAAGCCCACCTGCGCACCGCGAGCCCATGAATGCTGAGGTGCGGCGTCGGGGTGCCGTGGAGGCTGCATGGCCGCCGTCCAGGCCACATGCTGAGGCCTGGGAAGGGCGCCTGCACAATCCCGCCCAGTAGATCGCTGGCCAATTGCATCGTTGGACTCCAACAAACCCATCGATCGCTCAGACGCAGGACCCCCCACCCACCCCCCACAGACCCTTCTCACCCGCTGGAAGAGGTCGTTGAGCTCATCCAGGTTGGGCGCCAGGCTCCACTCGAACGCCAGGCCCAGCTCTGCGAAATGCTCGTCGCTCTTGGTGAGCAGGTCCTCTCTGGCCTGTGTGGTGTCCTTGAGGCTGCCTGTCCCGCTCAGGAGCTGGGATTTCTGGGTGCATATGCCATCGGAGGACACGGGTGCACTAGCACCTGCGCGCAGGATGTGGGTTCACGAGCGTGCGGCATCCTTCCTTGACTAGTGCACATAGGCCACGAAAAAGGTCGCCCGTCGGCCCACACGGACCCGAGCCATGCCGTCGGCATGCACCTTTGCTGAAGCGGAGGTGGGGCTTTGCTGAAAAATTCAGGGCGGTGGGCCGCTCCGGAGCGCATCTCGTGCGGCGTGTGGGCCGGGGCTGAAGGGTCGTGAAAGCCTTTAGGGGGCGAGCCACAGAGGTGGGCATGGCCGCAGATCCGGCCATGGGTCCCCGGGCCTCTCGATACAGGCTGTTTCGATTATACCGATAGCATTCTGAGGTGCCCCTGTATGCTCACCAGCACAGTGTTGGATCTTGCATGGCGACCGGGTGGGTGTGTACTATCAGATCGGTTTCAAGGGTCTCCGCGCCCGCGAAACCATTCCAAGGACGACTCTGCACCTTGCTCGTGAGCATGGCAGCAATTTCTGCACAAATTCCTTGCTAAGACCTCTAGAATCTGATCATGCTCCTTCCCAACCGTGCGCGGCGACGATACCGCCCCTGGCCTTCTCATAGCCTGGGGTGAGGTCGCCTGCTGGCAAAGCCAAGACAAAAGGATGCAGATGCTGGGTCGGGCCGGATGGAGCCATTGTAGAAGCACTTCTCTGTTGCTGTGTCCCTCCAGGGCAATGGTGGGGCGAGCACCCCTCGCGCATCCCCACAGCGCATCGGCCCTGCAGGCCGTCCCCGGGCGACGTCACCATCATCACCGTCCCAGGTGCGCATGGGCTGGGAATTGGCTGGCACATTTACCTGTACCTGACATGAAGTTTCGATAACTCGGTGGCATGCTGGTCGCATGCGCCCCACCTGCCCGGCTGGCACTCAGGCACCCATCTCAAACCCCTCCCTTGCAGGCGGCGCTCCCCCTCCCCCCCAGCCCCGAAGCCCTGGTCCCCTCCCCAGCCGCCCCCGCCCCCCACCCCCGACCTGATCGGCTACACGGTGACCTGTGCTGAGACCGGGGAGGCGCTGGGCAGCGTCCACTCCCTGCACCCCGGCCAGGGCCAGCCCATGCTGACGGTGCGTGGCGTGACCGGGGCATCGGCCGCCGCCTCGCGCCTGCTCCCCCACGGCACGCCTGTGGAGCACCTGGTGCCCTGGGTGCCCTCCATCGTGGCGCGCGTGGACCACGCCGGTCGCGTGCTGCGCCTGGACCTCCCCCCCGGCCTGCGCGAGCTGGGCGAGCGCGGCGCCCTGCTGGCCACGCTGGGCGCCCAGCTGGCGCCCTACGCCGCGCCGCGCGCGGGCACGCCCGCGGCGCGGCTGGGCCGCGGGGCCATGCCCACGCGCGCGGCGCTGGTGGCGGCCGGCCGCGCCGACCTCGCGCGCCTGGTGCGCCTCGCCGGCGGCCAGCTGGAGGTGGCCGCCGCGCTGGGGCTGGCGGCCTGCCGCCGCCCCGCGGGCTACTGGGACTGCGCGGACAACATGCAGCGCGAGCTGGGCCGCCTTCGTGGCCGCGCACTGGACGAGGTTCGAGGAGCCGGGCGAGGCGGAGGTCGGCGAGGAGCGCTGGGGCGTCGGACGCGGGGATGGAGGCGGCGAGGGGGCCAGGGGCATGGGGGGTGGCGACGACCCACGACCACCGCCCGGTACCCCGGACCCCGCCGCCCTGCCCCCCCAGCCGTCAAAGGCCGGGTACTGGTACAACCAGGTGACGGGGCGGGTGTCGCGCGAGGCGCCGGAGCTGCCGACCCTGATCGCGCTGGCCGATGATGGGAGCGAAGTGCTGGCCGAGCCGCGGGAGGACGTGGTCATGCCTTCGCGCGGACACCTGCTGGCGGCGGGGCGGTACGACCTGCACTACGCCGTCACGATGCACGGCGGCTACCGCGCGGTGGGCGCGGCGCTGGGCCGCGCGCCGCCCCGCCCGCGCCAGCGCCACCTGGGCGGGGCGCAGCGCCTGCGCCGGGAGCTGACGCGCTGGGCGCTGGACGCGGGGCTGGAGCCGGGGGGCATGCCCACCGCCAACCAGCTCTTGGGTGGGGGAAGGAACGACCTCTACAACGTGTGTGTTTGGAAGAGATGTGTGGGGGGGTGGGGGAGGAGGAGAGAGGGAGGGAGGGAGGGAGGGGACCCCTTGTCACGTGAGGCATGGATGTTGGCAGCTGTCAGTGCATGCACGGGGCTTGGGGATCCAGAGGCAGGCCGGCGGGCCTCCCCGTGCCCACGCCCCGAAGGCACACTCCAGGCACCCCCGCCCGACCGCGCAGGCCGTCATGCGTGGCGGCGGGTTTTCCGCCACGGCCGCCAGGCTGGGTCTCAGGCCCCGCAGGCAGGGCAGGGGCCAGTGGCACGGCCTGGGCGCGGCGGTGGCGGAGTTCCGGGCCTTCATGGCGGGGCTGGGGGGCGACGCCGCCCGCGTGCTCCCCAGCCAGGCTGAGCTGCTGGCCGGGGGGCGGCGCGACCTCGTCTACGCGCTGCAAAAGTATGGGTCGGCCCCGCTGGCGGCCGCGCTGGGGGTGGCCAGGAGGAGCCGGGGCCGGGGCCTGGTCCCCCCACAGGCGCCGTGGGCGGAGGAGGGGTGAGCGCACGACCGCCGGCGACCCACTCTGGCATGAGTGTTGACGGGAGTTGCTCAGATTTTCCACCCGTCTGAGGTTGCACTGTCCCCTGTCCACAGGCTACTGACAGTCATATCGTTCTGTACTGGCACCTAGCCTGAGGCAATCCCACTGCGAGCGTGGCGTGCCCTCGCTTAAACAGCTGGGCTTTTGCAGTGTGAGATCAGCCCTTTCATTTCATTTCAACTGTTGAGTTCAGTGCGTGGGGCCGCTCCATAGGCGAGGGTGCTCGAAGGTGCTGCGACCAGCGCAAGGGTTCAGAACCAGTTCTCAGTCTGTGATGGATCGAGTGACAAGCTTGCCCCTCCTGCCAGAGTCAAGAGGGGGGGTGGAGAAGTGGAGGCAGTCAGGCGCAGGGACATCGTGCCTCCTTCCCCTTCTGTCCCTCATCTGCAGCTCCCTCCGGTCACAGCAACCCATACGGACCAGCTGCCACCCTGCCCCGCTTGAGCATGGAGTGGTATCCCAGCCTGCGGGCACACGATCACCATCCCCTCCCCTCCCAATCTACGAGTCACCTGCCCATGGCGCCCCCCGGCTCCTGCGCCCGGCCCTCCCCGGAGGCCGCCGCCGCACCGGGGTCAAACCCCGGCACCGGCGCGATGAGCACCTCCACGCCGTTCGGGTTTCTCACGCGCACGACGCCGCGGTAAGCGGCGCGCGGCACGCCGTCCTTCCACTCGCGCAGCATGCGGTACCTCCCCGTGATCAGCCGGTACTGTTGCAGGCTGGCATACTCCACGCGGACGGGACCGGCAGCGGAGGTCCATGCCGCGTCGGCGGCCAGCGTGGGCGCGGAGGCCAGCATTGCCTCGAAGCGCGTGGCATACCTGTGGTGGAAGGCGGGGGGTTTCTGGGTGAGTGAGGAATGTTTGGTGAGGCTAACTGCCGCCTGCCTTGTGGCAAATGAAACTGGCTCTTAGGCCTGATCTTAATAAAGTAAAGCCGCATCTCAATGTTGCAAGGATGCGATTGACATTGCCGGCGATCCCCCGCCCCCCCTTCCCGACCCTCTCCCTCACTCGTCCGGCAGGAGGTGGCTCAGGTCCTCGCTCGCCCAGTCGATGGCCTCGCTGGCCAGAGTCACGGGCTTGAGGAAGGTGCGGAAGTACTGGCCCTTGCTCGAGCCGTGCTCGCCAAAATTGTAGGTGCGGCTGACCTCGGGCCTGGGTGCCAGCGGTTAGGTAGCGTTGTGGGGCTACAGGAGGGGGTTGCCAATCATCCGCCGCTCTCAGACCAGGGTGGCTGACGGTCTCTAGCCTGCAGCACATGCCTGGCAGCTCACACACACACCTGATGCACTGCCGGCCCTGTCTCGTGGAGTTGAGCCTCATCCAGTCGTCCCAGTATGCTGGGGGCCTGCATGGGCAGATATTGGCGGTTGTGAGAAGAAAGTAGAGGAGGCAAGCAACATGTGTGAAAAAAGAACTGTCTGACCCAGGCATAAACCCTTCAAGAGGCAGGCCATCGTCGCAATCTTGGGAGGTCCCTGTGCAGATTGGGCAATGCTTCTGCTTGTGGCACCCCATTTGGTCTGGTCCATGTTTCAAGCATACATGCCATGTGCATGCCCCCTCCGGCTCTTCTCCTCCCAGGATCCCTCTGCCCAGCAGCCCCCGCCCTCACCAGGCCTCCCTGATGCTGGTCCAGACTCCGGCATTAGTCATCCATCCCAGGCCCGGGAAGAAGTCGGTGCGGTGCAGAGTGTGCTGGTCCCTCACAAACTTTGACTGCATAGTGAGGAGATGGGAGGTCGGGGGGAATTGAGAGGGCCGGTCTGCAGCCATGGGCGGCAATCTAAGCGCAGCGGCCATTCAGTCACGCTGTCCTCTGATCCCCCGTCTTCCATTCCAGTGCTGGCACCTGTCCGTGGTCGTTCCAGGAGCTGACACAGTACAGGCTAGGGTCTGCGTCCATGAAGCGGCCGAGACCAAGAAAGTAGGGGAAAAAATCAGGGGCGAGGAGCATGTCGTCCTCCAGAATGATGAGTCGCGCAAATCCAAAGCAGTCGAAGAAGGTCTGGAAGATGAACCTGTGCATTGGGTGGAAGGGGTGTGGGGGAACAGTAGGCTGCCTGTGCAGCGCTGAAGTCTTGGAGAAGGAAACGCATGGTGAGGAGCCCACAAGGGGGATTGGCCCGACTTTCAGGGTTGCAGCCAGCAATGACGCCATGGAGAGAAGGGTATGCTGGCTGCGCCCACCCCTCTTCCATGTACAGACTCCTAGCTCACTTGTAATGGTTGGCAATTCTGTAGTACGCCAGTATCTCCCGCTTGTTTGAGGGGATGGGAGGAGCCACCTCTCGGTGCTGCACAGACGAGGCAAGGTTGCATGTCATGCTCTAGAGGCAGCCCAGGGGTGCGGTAGGGACTGCCAGACATTCTTGCAGTTCCTTGCCCACTGCTTCAGCACCGATCCACACCCTCTTGCCCACCTGCAGGTATCGCAGCTTGTCCAGATGCTGCTCGATGACCTCCTGGACGCCAGGAGCATCCGAGTCCTGGCTGATGTACAGGGGAAAGCGCAACCTGCACCCGGGTCAGCAGGCGAGCGACAGCGTCACATCTACCCGTCGTGGAGGGAACTTTGCGGAAGCCAGGCCTTCCAGCCATGCAAGGGGAGGGTGACAGTGCAGTTTCCTTGATGCCTTGGGTCGCCCCCTCCACTCCCCACCGCACGCCCACGCACAGCTCCCCATTCCCGGCACAGCCAGCCCTCTCCCCACTCCCCACGCACTGGTTGTCGGGGTCCAGGGCGTGGACGTGGAGCATGCTCTCCAGCGCCCGTGCCAGGTACTCGGCGCGGTCAAAGGTGACCATCACCACCGCGGCAAAGGCGCCGATGCGGGGCGGGCCGGAGCCCACACAGGCGCCGTCTTCATGCCCTGGCGGGAAAACTGTGGTGGAGGTGGCGTCTGGGCGGGTCCACCTCCGGAGGGCAGCCTCTTGGGCCTGGCGAAGGCGCCGCGCCCCCGCTGCCACCTCGGCCGGCGGAGGGGGGTCCTGCCTCCTGGCCCATCGAGGCTTCGGCCCCTGGCGGGCGGCTGTGCCCTCCTCCCTGGTCACCAGCTGCACCAGGCGGCCTTGGGTGCCTGCGCCGACCTGTGCACGATAAAATAGGTTGCGGTGGTGATGAGGGTGCGATCCAGGCGGCACTAATGTCCAGGGTGGGTAGAAGCCGAATACTTCATGCCCTCACCTTCACACCCTTGGACGGGGCACCATCTAAACGGACGCTGTAGAGCAGGACACCCTGCACGTGATGTGATAAGTCAAGCTACATCTGGGTGTGCTTCGTCGATCAAGAAGCATCGTCGGCTAACCCCATGTCAATCGCAAGATATTCGACGATACCTGGCAAAGCAGAAAGATAGTGGCACCTGCCACTATCACGAAATTTGTGCGCATGCAGGCATGCCTCGCGCTCTGTTTATGCTTCGGGCAAAGAGCCTAATTCCACACTTTTGGAGCTGGAAGCTCCTAGCACGACGCACGCTCCTGCTTAAATTTCCACACCGTACCACGTGCCTCAGCGCGCGCGTCGTTGCTCGGGGGGACGCCGTTTCGATGAGTACCGGGCGACCACAGTGGGGAATAAGACACCGCCCGATCGCCGCTTCGGCAGGCGTATCAAGATATCTTCATCATTATAGACGCCTTAAATTCTCTACATGGCGCGGTCATGGGCATTGAGTCTCCTATGTGTGGCCGCCGTGGCAGGTGTTGCCCTGGCCCAGACCATGTACCCGTCCCAGTGTGACCCCACCACCGTACTCACCCCGGGAGACTTGAGCATTCTCGGGCCGGAACAATTTCTTGTGGCAGGTACAAAGAGCCATGATTGGTGCACTCGATGGGCACTGATCTTCGGGTTTAGGGAGTCAGCCCTCAGGTACGATCACCCAGCCTCCCCACATTCCTGGCCCCCTGTCAGGCGGCGTGAATAACAGCTACCACATGTTCAACACCCTGAACATCACCGAACCCGTCCGACCCTTGCTGCTGCTGAATGGCATGGGGGCCACCCAGTACGAGTGGCCCCCCTCCTTCCTGGCCTGGCTGTCGCAGGGGTCCCGACCCGTTGTGACCCTGGATCATGCTGGGATCGGAGGGTCCACTTTCCTCGCCGCCACGGCGCCCTCCATCCCTCTGCTGACCGAGAACACCGCGGCATTCATGGCCGCCCTGTCAGCGGCGCACCCAGATACCCTACTGCCTGAGTATGACGTGCTGGGCTACTCCATGGGAGCCATGGTCGCGCAGTCCCTGGCAGCTTCCTTCCCTTCCTCGGTGCACGTCGTGGTCTCCGGTGCGAGGCCCGGGAGGGGTGGTACTGTATAGATGTGCGTGAGCGCACACAGGAGCAGCATGGCTTTGCCTTCTCTGGCAGAGGATCACCCACATACACATCTCAGGCCAATGTTTGCTGAACCCCCATGCACTGCATCACCTCTCCTCCATCCCGCCCTGCTTGCAGTGGCGGGTTCCTTTGGCGGTCCCCTGGCCCCTCAGCCGGAGGGGGGCCTGGCTGCCACACTGGCCAGGCTGGTGGATGCCCAGCTAGGCTCCAGCCAGGCCGACCTGACCCTCTTCTTCCCCCTGGGGGCCCTGGATCCAGGTTTGGACTGGGGGGTTCACTCCAGCTCTGGGCTGTGTTCTCGTGGGCATGCATGCGCTTGGGCAGTGTCTGACGTCTGTGCATCTGCCTAGAGTCCCAAATGTCCACATGCCAGATTTATGGGCAGCACAGTGTCATACCAGCTCCTTATTGTATCCTTCAGCCAGCCAAGGCCCTGCTCTCGCCTCCTTGGTGACATATCTCTGGCCCCACCAACCCCCACCCACCACCCACATTGCCCCTCCCATGCAGCCTACTGCAGCCTCTGGAATGCGGTGGCCTCCCTGCAGTATGCTGTGGGTGCGCTGCAGATGCCTGGGGCGGGCTATGCACTCGGCACCGTCGTCAAGAACCCCCTGGTCCTGCTGAAAACGAGGGCGGCTCTGGAGGCGCAGGCCGCGGCAGTCCTTGCCTACTACGAGGGCTTCTGCGCGGCGGGCTGGCCGGCGCAGCTGGAGGCCCTGTGCCCTCGGTCGACAGCAGCCAGTCAGGCACTGGGCAAAGGGCCGGTGCCCATCGCCTTCCACGGGTGTGTGTGCGTGTGTGGTGGGGGCTCATACTTGCTCGCCAGGGGGAAACAGAGTTCAGGAGCCTCACAGAGCTTGCAGGCCGTGCACGAGGCTGGAGGCGTTGTACACTTCGACATGATGGGTACAGCTACTGCACAGGGAGGTCGATCTCCTCTCTCCCCCACCATCTCACACCAGGGGATCGGCGGACAAGGTTATCCCGGCAGTCACACAGACGTATTCGGCCCTCCAATCTCCAGACTACCTCCTCGTGGAGGTTCCAGAGGCTGGTCATGTAAGTTACGGAGTGGCTGTTCAATCGGTAGCTGTCACGTCAGCATTGATAGTGTGGTGCAGTGAATTTCATGTCGTTTTGCAGCCAAAGGTGCAGTGTGAAGGAGCAACTTGACCACCTCCTGCAACCACTACATGCCTCCCATCGATCCGACAGGGTATCATATACAATTTCGATGCCGAGGATGTGGCCAACATTCTCGACTACCTAGATGCCGCTCAGCCGCTGAGCGGGGGACGGCCAGACAGCGGCGCAGCGTCCTCCGTGACGGGTGCTGCGGGTCCTACCCTGGCAGCCGCTGCAGCAGCCCACATTGCAACGCACTTGCTGTAGCCGGCTGGTGTGACAGGTTCGGGGTCTAAATTGCTTGAGTCGGCACTTCAGTCGCTGTAACAACACCCCACGGCTGGAAAGCTTAGAAGCGATCCGTCGACCCAAGGCAGGTCACCGCGCGCGGGCGCGATGGTCGGTTGGCAATGCCATTCTCCAGCCTTATGAGTCGTTAAGAAAGACAACACCTCGTGTTTTTCATCTGCAACTACTCCTCTGAGCCGAATGGCGGGCATATATAATGGGCCCGCACGTGGTGGCACCAGGGGGGGCAAGGACCAGTTCAACTGGGAGAGTGTGAGAGCGGACCAGGACAGGGAATATTACCTCGGGCACAGCGTGAAGGCCCTGACCGGCAGGTAGATTGTGCGTGGTGGTTTCGAATGTGTGGATTGCGGAGTGCAGGTGGTGGCTGGAGAGTGTATCACAACATGCGTCTCCCCCCCGCCACAGGTGGCAGAAGGGCAAGGATGTATACTGGTACACCCGCGAGAAGGAGGGGGATGCCCAGGCGGCACGCGAAAAGGAGCTGGCCATGGTGAAGCAGCGGGAGGAGGACCTCATGATGGAGGTGCGGGACAGGCTTTGGGGTTTGAGGGATTCTGGCATAGTCCTTGGCAACTGAATCGTCGAGCACGGCTGCTCTGCAGGCTCATCGACCCCTGATCGGCTGATGCAGAGTGCAGAGTTGCCTGAACATTTAAATGAATCTGATCGAAATCTACTACTGCTAAGAAGCCACTCACTATGCCCTGCCCCCTCTCCAGGCGCTGGGCATGAAGCCGCGGCCGCCAAAGCCGGTGACACAGCCCAAGCTGGATGGTGCGGACATGCAGAAGATACTGCATGGGGCCGGCGACGCTGCCGAGGAGGAGGACCCGGGCGCAGAGGATCGGGTGAAGGGGCTGGGCTTCAATGCCTCCCGCCTCACGTGAGTCGGTGGAGGGGGCGCTCCATGCATCCCATGTACTACGCTCACAGTGCAGCAAGAGGGATGCGTGGCAAGCCTCCACAACCAGCCCAGCCGCCGGCCCAGGCCCACGATTGACTCTCTAATTTGCATTTGACCCCAGCGGGCAACCTACTCAAGTATGCCTTACCCCAATCCTCCTAAACCTCCGCAGCGGCGCAGTTCAGGATGGGGAGATGGTGGAGCGCCTCGCAGGCGTGGGGACCTCCCAGTCTGTCGCGGGAACGCGCCAGCAGCCGGCGTCGACGCGGGGTGGGCCAGGGGTTGCCCAGGCCGAGGAGTCTGCGCCGCCCAGGGCAGACATCCGGAAGCAGGATAGGAGGGAGGAGAAGAAGGTGCAGAGCTAGGTCCCTGGGCTGCGACCTGCGCTGATACACATTGCCACTGGGAGGAGGGGCCATCTGCAGCGCTGCAGGCTCACCTGGCTCCCAGGGCATATGCCTCGCCCCGCTGCATGATCTCCTGTCACCACGCCCTGGTGCAGGCTCGCAAGGAGGCAAGGAGGGCGAAGAAGGCCTCCAAGCACAAGAAGCACAAGTCTCGGACTCGCAGCCGGTCGCCGGAGTCGAGCAGCAGGTCTCCATCACCGCTGCGGCGACCGGTCCGGAGGTCGGCCTCGCCATTGCCCAGGAGGGCACAGTCCCGCTCGCCGCCAGCGCAGGGACGTGGCGAGCGGGCAGGGCCCTGGCCGAGGCGGCACAGCCGCAGCAGATCCCCACCGAGGCAAAGGGACGCGGGGAGGAGACGCGGCCGCAGCAGGTCTCCAGTGGGGCGAGGTCGCTCGCCGCGGCGGGGGTGATTTCTGCACCCACGGCCATGCCGGGTTTCGCAATGGATGGTGCGGCGGCGGATCGACGAGCTGACCTGAGACCTGCCATGTTACCGGGCGATTTCAGTTTTGCAACAATGCGCAATGCGTCTGGAATTGTCAGACAACCAAGCCAGGGACAGGGGTGGGAGGGGGATCACTCGACTCGATTCCCACGCCAGCCATGACAGGCGACTCTAGGGTGTGCACGCCTCACGCCGGCACTGGCAGCGGCTTGCCCCTGCCCATGCCAAATCCCTTCTCCCCCGGCACCGCCATGCGGGGTTGACGGGGCCCCTCCCTTGCCCCAGCCCCCGCTCCGGGGGAGGCATGCGATGCGCTGGCCCAGGCGGAGTAGTCGCGGCGGGCGGGCTTGGCCTTGGCCTTGGGGCCGCCGGGCGGCTGCCCCTCCCTGCCGCCGTCGGGAGCCTGGGCCTCACACTCCTGCACCGCGTCGTCTGTGGCTCCCACGGACGGCCCTGCGGCCGCCCCGCCAATCCCTGAAGCCCCAGCTCCCTGCCTGTCTGGGCCCGCCTGCTTGGGGGGCCGGGCCGCCTTGCCTTGGGGCAGGACGTTGAGGATGGCTGCCCTCTGGCCCCCGCGCCTGTGCGAGATCAGGGCGTGGAGCTGAGGTGGGGAAGAGCGTCTGCCTCTGGCGTGCCAAGGAACGAGAGACGGCGCGGTCGGGATTCACAGGCACAGCCTCGGGCGGTGCATCGACGCCGACAAACCTCAGTCACCCCTCCTGCCCGTGCCCTTGCCGGTCACCGCCCGGCCAGTGCCAAAGTCCCGGTCCTCACCAGGAGTCGGTGGAGTCCAGCGCAGCCCTGGCCCTGTGGGCTTCCTCCGAGCTCGAGTACTCCACGAGCCCGTACCAGCGGTGCCCCACCCAGGTCATGAAGCGGGGGTTGAAGGCGATGAGGGGGTCCAGCACCTCCGGCTTCCGGATCTTCACAAAGCCCAGGGTGCCGTAGGGCCTGCACCGTCCCTCCAGCTCCTCTGCCAGGGTGGGTGGGTGGGTGGGAAAGGGTGCGAGGATGGGAAAAGGCGCGAGCATGGGACTCTGCTCAGTGCATCGGCAGCCCAGGGACCCGGTGGGCAGGCAGCACACGAGGCCCGTGGCAGCCGCCGCGCTTTCCACCCAGCGCACCGATGGAGGACTTGTCGGGCAGGCCGGTGATGAGCAGCGTCCTGGAACGCAGCTCGGAGTGGTCCACCGCCTTCAGCGGCTCCCTGCGCCGCACCGCCTTGCCGCTCAGACTGACCTCCAGCAGCTCGCTGGACCTCAGAGCTGCGGCCACGACGGCTGGGTCTTTTCCATACCGCCTCATCTTCTTGAACGACATGATGACGGCGAGGGGGACTGCACGCGGGATGGTGGAGGGGGGGGGGGGAGCGGGAGGCCGCTTGTGTTGAGCTGATTGATTGAGAAGCGGGGGGAAGGGACCAAGTACCCCTGGGATCACGACTGTGATGTTGCCCTGCTATAGGGGCCCACTCACCATAACCCTCGGGGTGCTTGGCGACCTGCTGCAGTAGGAAGGCATCGGTCGGCAGGTTGGCGTCCGAAAAGTAGTGCTCCACCTGCCTGCACGCATGGACAGTGTGTGAGGAGTCTGGCCGCCGAGCTGAAGGAGAGTGCACTTGTCAGCCACCTGTCCTCCATCCTAAAATTCAGGATCAGACCCTCCATAGGCAGACAGCAAAGCACCTGATCTCACAGCCTCAGCTCACCTCCTCAGAGCAACAGGATCGTCCAGTGCTGGTGCGACAGGGACCGAGGGAGCACACCCAGTCTCTGAGGGTGGGTCGACCTCTTGGGAACTTCCCTTCTCCGTGAAAGGCATAAAATTTTCGGACAATCCAGCTATCAGCTTTCGCAATTCATCCTTAGGGAGGCTTTCATATAAAAACGTTGTCTTGTTGGTCATGGTGAAGGGTGGAGGGGCGTCTCCGGTGAGGGGGCGAACACAGAGTACAGGATGTTCTACGAAGGAATCTTGATTTCAATCTGCCCTCGAGTATACATCAAAGGTACAGAGCATGCAGAGGCAGATCGGAAATCCATATACACACACGATTGTGGGAGGCTTCCGTACGTGCCATGCATGCTTTCCGTCGTAGACCTAAAAATGAACGGGACCCACATGGCACACGATTCCTATAGCCGTCCCTGCAAGGCGATCACAGGAGGAAATATGCATCGACACATGACATCCGACTACTGAGCGGCATGGCAGTCGCGTGGCGCGAGATCTGCATGGTGTAGATGCTGAGGGTGTGGCGTAGGCTGGCCCCTTCCTCAGGCTGCCCCCGCCCGACATGTGCGACCCATGCGCGCCTGTAGGAGTGGTAGTTATGGCTTCCACCGCCTCTCGCCAAGCAATGAGTTCATTCTACCCATCTCCCACCTATGCTGCACTAGATCGCGGTCTGCGAAGCACACCTGTGGTCATGGTGGAGGGGCACCAGTGCCATCGGGTGGCCCACGCCCACCGACGCCAGCTGCTGGGCAGGCGCTTCAAGGCCAGCTCTCCTAATGGAAGGTTCACAGATGGGGCTGCTGCCCTGCATGATCAACCCCTGCACCGCATAGAGGTCCATGGCAAGGTGAGATGCTGAGGGGCTAGGACGCTTGCCCAGGGATGGTGGTGTATCACTCCTCTTCTTCTTTCCCCCCCCGCGCCACATCCAGGGTCTGGCCCTTCAAGGCTGGAATCATCTCCTCCCATCCAGCACCCACTCAAGCCACCCCCACCCCCCCTCCTCCCCTCCCCCTCACAAAACCCCACGCAGTACCTCTTTTACTTTTTTGGCACTGACCCAAAGGATCCCATCGTGTTACACTTCCACTTTGGGATGTCCGGCGCCTTCCGGACCACTGCCCTGCCTGGGCCGGAGCCCACCGCGACCACACGCCTGCAGCTGCTCGACCAGGAGGCAGGCACTGTGTCCCACCTGTCGGCCATGACGGTCCTGCATGGCAGCAGGGGTGAGGAGCTACGGCGGGGTGCCGTCGGGACCTATCCAGCTGCAGGGTGCAGGCGCCCATGCCTGAGAGGGCTGGCGCTCCCGGAACGATGCAGGCTTGCAGGGGAGAGCCGTGGTTGGCGGGTGGCGCCATGGGCTCCACTCCAGCCTGGTGGCGCCACCCTCCCCCCCCTCGACCTTCCATCCCTTTCCATTTCGAACAGATCTGTATGACGCAAAGCGGTCCAAGCTGGGCCCCGATCCACTGCGTGAGGATGCTGACGAGGAACTGGTCTGGTCCACGGTGTCCACCAGCAAAAAGTCCATTGGGTGGGTGGATCATGGGTTGAGGGGAGGGGCCTGGTGAGTACCCTGCAGGCTAGGCTACCAAGGGCCCTACCTGTCCTGGCGGCACCAGCAGGCCCCCGGCACTGTAGCCTTATCGCAAGCCCAGGGGAGCAGCGTCGATGCACCTCCCACCCTGGACGCGTTGCAGAAGGTCCCCCTCCCAACCCCACTTACAGGCTGCTGCTCATGGACCAATCGGTGGTGGCGGGCATCGGCAACATTTACCGCGCCGAGATCCTGTACAAGGCCGGCGTGCATCCGGTGAGGGCGCTTGGGTGGGTGTGAAGGGGGGACAGGGGCGATGCACGGGGGATGGTGGGGTCCAGTCGCAGGGGTCTCCCGCACCTGCAAAGGTTTACATCATTCCGTCGTGCCATGCCTGGTGCCTCGCTGCCCTGGCGCCTTGTTCACTCCCAAACAGAGGAGTGACCCCCGGCCCCTGTGCCAAGCACGTGCGCAGGAGCAGCCGGGGAACACGCTTTCGGTGGAGGCCTTCCAGCGCCTGTGGCGGCACTCCGTGCTCCTCCTCCAGCGCGGCTTTGCCACAGGATCCATCCTCACCGTGGACGAGGGGGAGGCGCCCTCCCTGGGGCCGGCCTGGGCGCGGCGCTACATCTACAACCAGGCGCGGTGCGGGCGCTGCGGCGGCCGCGTGGCCACCTGGGACATGGCGGGGCGCACGGTGTACGCCTGCGCCCGCTGCCAGCCGCTGCAGGCGGGGACGGAGCTGGCGGAGGGCAGGCGGGCCGCCTTCGCGGCCGCCGCGCCCGCGCGGGTGGGAGGCGGCTTGGGGTCGGAGAGTGAGGGCTGCCATGGGCAGGGCTGCCCACTCGGAGTTGGACCGCAGTCGGGGGGGACTGCGGGGGTGGGGCAGGAAGCGGGGGGTACGCGCGCGGAGTGGGCGCCTTCGCTCGGGGCCACAGTGATGGGCGGTGCGAGATTATTTGCTGCGAGCGCCTTGCGCCCCTGCAGATGCTGAACACAACTCGACACCCCAGACCCCTGTTCTTCCACACTCACACTCCAGGAGTTCCTGAGCCACTGCGCGCCCGAGGACCCTGCCGCGCTGGGGTCGCCAAAGAAGATGACGGTGGCGGGCCTGCGGGCTGCGCTGGGCGCGCTGGGCGCCGATACGGCTGGGAGGAAGGCGGCCCTGGCCGCGCGGCTGGCGGAGCGCCGCGCCCTAGGGTTTGTCGAGGCGGCCCCGGGAGGGGTGAAGCGGGAGGACGGCGCGCAGGTGCCCCCACAGGCAGCGGACCTGGCCGTCCCCTCGCCGCCGGCCCCCGCCGCCTCGCCCGCGCCAGGCAAGGCGCCTGGCAAGCAGCGGGGCGCCTTCCCAGGGCCCAGGCTCCCGGCCATGCCCCCGCCCGTGACCCCAGGCATTGCCGCGCTGCTGGACACCCCCATCAAGCTGGGCGAGCTGGGCCGGCGGCGGCGCAGCAGGCCCGTCGCCTCCGCCCAGGTGGGGTCCGGCTGATCTGGCGCCACCCTGGGTTCAGAATGCGGTGACAAATGCAGGGCGTCAGTGCCTGCGCCTCGCCTTGCTTCAGACGGACGGCTCGGTAGGCCACCACCCTGCGCCCCACCACATCCACGCACGACGCCCGCAGGAGGCTCTGCTGGAGAAGCTGGAGGCCGGGGAGGGGCTGGGCGTGGAGCACGTGGCGCTGGAGGACGACGCCACGGAGGCGCTCAAGGCGCGAGCCTCGGTGGGGGACCCGGCCAGGCGGCCGCGCCGCACCTCCGGGCGGGCGCTGCCGGGGCCCGGGGCTTGAGCAGGCCCGGCGGAGCCTCCAGCCCCCCCGACCCCCCACCAGACCAGACCAGACACGTGCACAGCAGGGTTTGCTTGCTGAACCAGGGGTGTCGGGGGGCGTGAACAGACGCTTGGCATCGAATTTGCCTTACAGCGCTCAGGGCAGGGAGGATGATCGGGGGTACGGAAGGGGGGTAAGGTACAGGACGCTGACGCCGGGGGGTCACCGGAAAGCGCGGCGCGGCTGGTGCGGGGTGAGGGCGAGTGGGGGTCACGGGATGGCGGGGCAGAGGGTTGCTGGGGTGCGGACGGGAATGGCGTACGACGGGCAGAAAGGTTATGGGCGTACGGGCGGCGCGGCCTGCGGGCCGGGCGGGGGGCCCCGCTATGCGTGGGGTGCCCCACGCCCGGCGATGCACGGGCTGGGCCGTGCGGGGCAATGCATGGGCCTGCCATGCGGGACAATGCACGGAGGGATTCCATGCGCGGCTCTACCGGGGAGCGCGGGGTGAGGTGGGTTGGGGTCGAACTCCGAGGCTCGAACCGGGGAGGCAAAAGGGTGTGGAAACCGAGGCGCCATGCGGCTTGTCTGAGGGTGACTGGGTGGGCCCGGGGAACGGGTGGCCGACGCGGAGGCCGAGCCGGTCCCGGGCCCCCCGAGGCTCGGGGGCCGGCCGAAACAGGGCAGGGCGGCGGCCCGCGAGTCGGCCTGGAAAAGAGATGGCTGGGGGCGGGGGCGCTCACAGGGCGGGTCGCACCCCCGGTCCCTCAGCCGTGGAAAAATAGGGCCTGAAGCCCGAGTTCGGGCCTGGCGCGGGGACGAGGCGCGGCGGCGCGGCCGGGCGGTCGTGGGCGGGCATCGCCGCGCTGGGCGCCGAGGACCCGCCGCGCGCGGGGCCCGCGCGGCAGGCGAGCTGGGCGCGCAGCGTGGCAACCTCGCGCCGCAGCTCCACCAGCTCGGCCTCCATGGCCTGCAGCTGGGCGGACTTGCGTCGGCGCGAGCGGCGCGCAGCCTCGCGCCGACGCTGCATGATGTCCTCCAGGCTGCGGGAGGCGGACCGAGCCTGCAGCCCCTGCGCGGGGAGGGCCCAGAGGTGTGTGTAAGTGTGTGTGTGAGTGTGTGTGTGTGTGAGTGTGTGGCAGGGTGGGTGGGAGGAGCCGGTGTGGGTGGCAGGGGTCAGGGGGGGGTAGCGGGGTCGGGGGCCGCTGGATTCCCAGGGGTCATGGGGGCTGCGCCGCCCCGGACCCCGCTGCAGGCCGTGCTGCAGGCCAGACCACCCTCTAGGCCACGCAAAGCATGCGGGTGCTGCCGACGGCATGTGAGCAACACGCCCCACCGCACACACCTTGCTGTTTGGTGTTCCGTTGCTGCGCTGCGCCTCTTCGCCCTCCAGGCTCTGCGAGGGGGAGCCGGAGCTGCCCGGCCTGGTCTCGTTCTGGGTGGTGCAGGGATGCAGCGTGGGCGCAAAGGCGGCCATGGGCCCCGGGGCTGGCTGGCGGATGTAGTTGAGGTCGCTCATCTGGTTGGGGGGAGGAGGGGGCAGAGTCGGAAGCAGGGGGAGCCAAAGGACCGGACCAGAGGCAGCGCATGAAGAGGTGTTGGAGAAGCCTGGAACTGTGCCGAAACACACCGTGGAAGGTGGGGATGGACCGGGGTGGGGCACGGAGGCTTGCTGTGAAGTGCCGTCCAACGAGCGGAGCAGCTCCACCAAGGCAGCGAGGGCGGAGGGCGCCTCACCGAGCATCCCGGCCTTGTACGCAGCACCTGCGGGTCCAGGGCAGTGCAAACTGCTTAAACAAGCATGTTCACTCCCAGCCATGCGCCTAGACGTGTGCCTGCCCAGAGCACCGTTAGACCGGATGTCAGGGGGGTCAGTGCGGAGAGGACTCCTTTCATCGTATCGAGGAGTTCGCGACGCCTCCCCTCGCACCTTCCAGCTTGTGCCCATGTTGAAGAAGAGACGTGGCGTTATTCATGGCCATGGGGCTCCTCCACACCAGAGTCCGCACCCAGGTGTGAGGTCTCCAGGTCGGCCTTGTGGTCAGCTTCCGCAAAGTATACTTATCCGAAGCTCTACAGCAAGCTTCTAAATCACGATGGAGTGTCGTGCGAGAAGCTGCTTCAACGGCTCTGACTGAGGTATGGTGGGGCAGCCTTAGGCAAATCTCCCCCGCTCTCCCTACTGCGTCGTGGTTCGTGATTACGTTATTTCCTGGGGTCCCTCCAGATTCGATTCCACAACGCATCAACTGACAGCCGGAACCCCACAAACCCTGTGAAACGCCGTGGCATTGCTTCCTTAATACGAGAACCGCGTTTAACTTCTCTAATCATTCGTCCCACTTGCGAAGTTGTCGCGCAGGCCGACACGAGTCGCTATCGCTGCCTCCAGGCAAGGTAGCCGTGACGGAGCACAAGAACCACTTCCCAGGGACCTAGCACACAAATCTATTTGAGGGGAAGCAAAGAAATCAGACACCGTCTAGAGGGACACCTCAATCCCTCTCAACAAGCATGATGTAATGTAGCCACTCTTGGACCTGACCTCCAGAAGATGGCGGTGCGGTTGCATGAACCTCATCACCCCAAACACAGCCTCTCTCAGGAGCTGATAGATGGGATTATAACATGATAGGCAGAACTCTGACCACCCTGACACACCTACAAAAAGGGCGTGGCCTTTCCTGTGCCACGGCGGCGACCAGGGCTGACTGTTGATTATCATGTGATGCTTTTCTCGTCACCATTGATCTGAATGATGCGCAATACGCCGTCCACAGAACAGGGTGGTGGCCCTGATGGTCCCTCTCCGGCATGTAGAAGCTCGGGATCAGGGTTGGGCGAGGCATCGGAGTTCCTCATGTAGAAATCTCGTATGTCAGACGGGCTGTGCGCACGCGCCACCCAGGAGTGTGCCATCTTCCCTCCCAACAGAGCCGTGCAGTCTGGTCACCGCGGGTGCTTTTTGACAATCAGTGTAGCGGCTGATCAGAGTGCCTTGAATGGGTGATTGCTTGGTGTTGGTCCATCTGCTTGTCACCTGGACTCGAACTCCTTGAGTACACAATCAGGTCTGCAGTGGGGCGATTGTGGAGATTGGTGCAGAAAAATCGTTCTGCAACCACTGTGCCACATTCCTGGCAGACGGGCATTGACAGAAGGAAAGGAGAAAATTGAAGTAAGATGGGGTGTCACTGGAGCATGAGGCGGTGCACACCATCCCGTCGGCCGCATCCAACATCAAGGAGTGAGCTGTGAGCGCTGGTGGCAATCTTGTCAGGTTTGTAGTCCACTTTGTGACCAGTCAGACACCTATCGGAAGGGGCGGGAGTCCTAAAGCAAACCGCAAAACAGACAGCAGCGGCCCTCTGCCCAGTCAGCGCTGCTCCCATCTCACATGTTGGAGCCAGGCCCCCTTGAGCGACTTTCACTCCGACAGCCAATACAGCTGACGTGCAACTTAAACAAGAGTCAAGAATCAAGTGAAAGATCCACTGCGATGGGCGCCGGCAAGGTGTGCCAAGCTCCTCGAGGAACGTTCTTCTTCCAAGCTACCGCAATCGATGGAGGGGAGCAGTACTGGTCTACAATGAAAGGATCGAAGATGCATGAATGCAGGATGGGAGCTCCCGAGGAAGATGTCCCAGTCACTGCCCATACTCGTTTCACCTCCGGTCATACAGGGCTTTCATCCCCGCGGTTGTAGTTCGACAGACCTCCCTCCTCTTCACTCTAAGGGGGGCCAGGGTTGTCAGACGGGCTGTGCGCACGCGCCACCCAGGAGTGTGCCATCTTCCCTCCCAACAGAGCCGTGCAGTCTGGTCACCGCGGGTGCTTTTTGACAATCAGTGTAGCGGCTGATCAGAGTGCCTTGAATGGGTGGTTGCTTGGTGTTGGTCCATCTGCTTGGCACCTGGACTCGAACTCCTTGAGTACACAATCAGGTCTGCAGTGGGGCGATTGTGGAGATTCGTGCAGAAGAATCGTTCTGCAGCCACTGTGCCACATTCCTGGCAGACGGGCATTGACAGAAGGAAAGGAGAAAATTGAAGTAAGATGGGGTGTCACTGGAGCATGAGGCGGTGCACACCATCCCGTCGGCCGCATCCAACATCAAGGAGTGAGCTGTGAGCGCTGGTGGCAATCTTGTCAGGTTTGTAGTCCACTTTGTGACCAGTCAGACACCTATCGGAAGGGGCGGGAGTCCTAAAGCAAACCGCAAAACAGACAGCAGCGGCCCTCTGCCCAGTCAGCGCTGCTCCCATCTCACATGTTGGAGCCAGGCCCCCTTGAGCGACTTTCACTCCGACAGCCAATACAGCTGACGTGCAACTTAAACAAGAGTCAAGAATCAAGTGAAAGATCCACTGCGATGGGCGCCGGCAAGGTGTGCCAAGCTCCTCGAGGAACGTTCTTCTTCCAAGCTACCGCAATCGATGGAGGGGAGCAGTACTGGTCTACAATGAAAGGATCGAAGATGCATGAATGCAGGATGGGAGCTCCCGAGGAAGATGTCCCAGTCACTGCCCATACTCGTTTCACCTCCGGTCATACAGGGCTTTCATCCCCGCGGTTGTAGTTCGACAGACCTCCCTCCTCTTCACTCTAAGGGGGGCCAGGGTGTGCTTCTGTTGGCACCTCTGGCGCTGGGCTTGCCAAAGGCAGGAATGCCCCCACAACCTTCCTGCCCTCCTGATTCAAGATGTTGAAGGTTGCCACCGCATTCACCTGCACGGCGTGTTACCAGAGCATTCCTCTCAGAGATAATGTGCGCGCTGTGCACAAGGCATGCCTCGACCTCCCCACCCTCCCAAACACACCGTGGATGCCACCTCCACGGACAGATGCTTGGCTCGCGCAATTCTGGCAAGGGCGGGGGGAAGGCGCAGGGTCTGGGACCCTGTCCCCAGGACCAAGAGGTCTGCGGGTTGAAGCGGAAGACGACTGGAAACGTTGCTGTCTGGAGGCTGCGGGCGACCAGGTGGCCCCGGCGTCCTGCCCCATGCTTCACTGGATGCAATTCGGGGTCCTTGCCACCCACCTGGTACCGGCTTTAGTAGGTCCACAATGCTCAGGCTGGCTTCGCTGATGCTCTCCAAGCTGTCCACTCGCCAGCCGGTTAGCAGACCGCGGTATGCCAGGAGGGCCCCCGGGATGAGAGACTCCCCTATCACGAATCCGGCAGATGTACAGCTACAGGAGCGACGGCATAGAGGTTAATTTGTCCAGGCTAGAGGAACATGGGCATGAGAAATCTAGGTTTCCACCCTACAGCTCCTGTCAACCTCAACTCCCCCCGGGCACCTGTCGATGCGCACGAGTCCTGCGTCCTGACCCAGGATGTCAAGATCGGCGGGAGATGATGTCGAGTACGATGATGCTCGCAGTGCGTGGCTTGTGGCCGCTGCAACCACACCACCCTCGCCTCGTGGTGCATGTAAGAAGGTTGGGGAGTGAGACACGACGGCGGAATACCTCGAAGCCACGAGCCTCGCAGCGCTCAAGATACACCGCATGCTGCCCCCGGATAAAAATGCACTACGAGGACATGCTGCTGGATCTGGGGTCCGAGTACATCAGATCGCACCTCTTGCATGCATGTCCCGGGATGCTCTTCGGGAAGGCACACATCGCGCGCGCAAGTCGGGGCCGTGCTGCTCATCCATGCCTGCATCTCGGCACCATCTAAGAGAGAATGCGCGGGCTTCCTGGACCATACGCAACACGATCCATGACTTCCGTGTCCTTGAAAGGCACCTGATTGGGCAGTCGTGTGCTCTCAGGCCCAAGCAGACTGGGCGGGTGCCCGGTGCGCAGACCGTCATGTGACTCCCGATCTATCATTGCACCAGCCATGAAAAGCATGTCATGGAATTATGGGGCGAACTCGAGACCTGCAGTATCCGTCCAGAGACCTGGGCGGCTGGTGTTTCATTCCTCACACGCCTCCTGGCGCCCGTCACTGTGCCCAGCTCTGCAACCGAGCACCTTGCCGCCTCGCCAAGAATTGCCACCCGGGCGGCCGCTCCACATTCCCACTGCCCATGCCCTGTCAGCCTCTGCTGACTGGGGCTCCACCCAGCCTGGCCGCAGCGCCCAGCCCCTCCTGTCCGGCCTCCTCAAGGCCCTTTCCCGTGTGTCGTTGGTTTTGGGCAGCCCCGAGTTCTACACCAGGCTGGCCACCCTCCTGGCCATGGTTGTCGTCTATCGCCTGGGCAACCACATCCCCATTCCAGGTGTGTGCGCGGTGGGTGTTATTTGAGGGCCGGGCAGGCCTCGCAGAGAATGCTTGGTATGCCCTGCATGCCGTCAGCCAATGCCCCTCCTGTGGGGTTGCCCAGCCGCCACACCAGCAACCCCCTCTTTTATCCCCTGGTCTGAAACCATAGGCACGCAGACCCTGGTCTTAGATGGCACCGGCATGGCCGAGCGGTTTGCTGCTCTGCTGGGAAGCGACACGCCGGCCAACATCTTCATCCTGAGGTGTGGTGCATTCGGGCCCGAGGGTGCAGCATGCTTGGGTGGATGTGTGAGCTAAGGGCCGCCCGTGCAGGGTTGGGTATGGCCTCAGCCTCGACGGTGGTGGTGGGCGGCTAGGAAGGGCCACTGGCCGGCATGCGTGCCCTGCGTGGGCCGTCGCCTTGAAGTCCCCTACCCTCCCATCCCCACTTCAACCCTTTCCACTCGCCCCCACCATGCAGCGTCGGTCCGCTCATGAACGCCCACCTGGTAATGGGGGCGCTCCAGCTCCTGACCCCGGTGAAACAGCACTTTGCCATGCTCCACCAGCAGGGCCAGGAGCATGTGGTCCAGAGCTACACCACCACCCTGTTCTTCATCTCGGCGTTCCTGCAGGTGCACTAGGACTTTGGGGGATGAGGGCTCACCGATTCACTTCCCCGGCCTTGATTCTTCGAGGCTCTGGATGCTGGCGTCCTGCTCATACAGTGTCTCAGGCTGATGAGAGGGTCAGGGAGGGATGGGAATGCAGGCAGGGGCCGGGGTGTCCTGCAGGACGCCTGGTCTCACATGGTCTGTCCCACCACGAGCGTGACTAGACCATGCTGCAGGGCTGGCCATGCTGGGCTTGCGGTCAGCACTCTCACTCCCTGCTCAATGCGCAGGCCGCCGCGCAGTCTCGGGCCTTTGCACTGGCGGCCGCCCCGGGCCGGCCCTTCGACTGGCGCTGGCTTGCGCTCAGCACGGCGACGATGATGGCGGGGTCGGCCGTGTGCCGCCTCCTGTGCAGCACCATCGAGGAGAAGGGGCTGGGCGACGGGCTGGGCGTATTCATCGCCACGGGCACTGCCTTGGGTGGGCGGGGCGTCAGGGAGTATCCGTTTGGTGGGGGAAGGGGTTTCTGTAGAGACCTGCACGAAGGGGCTTGGCATCACTGGACGCGGAAGCGGTGTGCTCTGCCAGCACATGCTGCATGAGGGACATGCTTGGTGACAACCCATTCTGGACCCCAAGTCCGGCCAGCGGTGCACCTGCCTCGGCACGCAGCGCACACCCCGGCTCCAGCGCCCACCCTTTGCCCGCCCTCCTGTGGCCCAGCACGAGCTGCGCCTTCCGGGCCGGAAGCCACACGCCTCCGCATCCCGTCTTGCACGTCGCAGGCTATTCCAGGTTCCTGTGGGACGTGGCTGGGCAGCTCCGGGCCTCCCCGCCGCCGCCCCTGCGCCTGCTGGCAGCCCTGGGCCTGTGCTTTGCCACCGTGGCGGGCGTGGTGTACGTCCAGGGGCTCGAGCTCCGGCTGCCGCTGGCCTACCACCGCGCGCGGGGCGGCAGTGCCCTGGTGAGGGGCCTGGGGTGGTCATGCCGATTTGCGTCGTAGGGCCTTGAGATACAAAACAGGATGCTTCGAAGATCCAGCACTGCTGTCGAGTCCAGCTGCTGCATCTGCTGTGCACCTGGGCAAACGCAGTGGTGTTCTGGGCCGGGCTGGCCCCAGACCACCCGATTCACCCAGCCGGGCCTGTGATCAGCAAGGCCCATCACCATCGCTGACGTCCCCTACCCTGCATCCACAGGGGGGCTTTGCTGCGCGGCTGGCTTCCATGCCCATTGTTCAGGCCTTGGGCAGGGCGCGGGGCGGCGCCGGGGACGAAGCGGGGGGCGTGGCGGTGGCGGCGGCGGAACGCCACGCTTTCTTCCCATCGCGCTGTGCCCGCAGGGCACCCGCACGCTCCTCTTTGTCAACTTCTGGGTGTCCATGTTCCAGGTGCCCCTCAAGTAAGTGGCCCAGGGTGGGGGTGGCAAAGGTGGCGCGTGCCGAGGGTGATGAGGCAGCTGGAGGTCATGGGCTGGGCCCAACAGCCTGGCGAGAGACGAAGGGTCTAGCTCTGGCTTTGGGCGAGGGACATATGAGGATCCCAACCCCCTCTACATTGCCCCTGCCCATCCTCCAGCCTTGATTACCCTTTCCTCACAGCCTCCTGGGCCTGAGCACCCTGTTCAACTCCCCCTGGGCCTATGCCGCATTGATCTTCCTGGTGGAGGCGCCCAATATCGGCGACACCTCCCCGCAGCTGGCGTCCTACTTGGCTATGGTGAGAAGGGTGGTTGGCGCCACCCCCTCTCCACCTCCAGCGCTGCCCGTGCATCTCCCCAGGTCAACCTTGTCAGTGGAACGCTGTCTCCGCACCCTACCCATGCCCTCATCCCCAGCCCCAACATTCCACCGCAACCTGAATCCACAGGGCGAAGCCGGCGTGACGGGGATCAGCCCAGGGACCGCGACTGCGGCGGTGCTGTCTCGCACCCGCCAGCAGCTACGCCTGCTCAACGCCGGTTTCCTTGCCGCGGCCTGGCTGTCTACCGCCTGGGTGGACGCCGCGGTGGCGGCCCTGGTCGGCGCGCCTGCTGGCTGCCTCCAGTTACTGCTCCTGGTCAGCATCTTCACCGGGGGCACGCGCCAGCTGGCGGCGCTGGCCACCCCGGTCCGGCTGGAGGCGGAGCTGGCGCGGGAGAGGGCGCTGATGGGCCGGGCGTGAGGAGGGGCTGGTGCGCAGTCGGGCTGGGGGCGCTGGGCGCCGCTGGGGTCGGAGGGGTGTTGCACTTTCTAGCCGAGGCTGTATGCGCCCGGCATGCCTGGTCACGCGAGCTCGGGTCTTGCTCGGAGGTTGTTGATGCCAGCCACTCCTTCAGCGGCATGGCACAACCGGCAAGGCTATGTTCTGTAATGCCCCCAGATAGTCAGCCGTCATTCTTGAATTCAGAAAGAAAGTGGCAGCCAAGCATCTAGGTCTCAGAAGCGGACCACCCTGCTCCCTTTCTTCTTCTGCTTCTTGCCGGTCGAGGTCGGGGCGGGTGCAGCGGCCTCGCCGCCGGGCCCCGCCTCCCCGTCTGCCACCCAGTCGTCATCCAGCTGGTCGCCGCTGGCATGCACAGGTGCTGCGGCAGCCGGTGGTGCTGCTTTCTTTCCTGTGCCCGAGGCTGCGGCCGCGGCAGGCTTTACCGCCGCCCCTGAGGAGGGCTGTGCCTTGCCGGAGGCCCCTGCCTCGACGGGGGCGGCAGCAAGATGGGCGGGCCCAGACACGTTGGGGCCCGTCACCGGGCACGCTTCCACCTCCTGGCCCAGCGCCTTCAGCTTCTCCACCACGGCCGCCACCAGCTTCGGGCCGGCCGCCAGTGTGGTGCGCTGTGCCACTTCGCCCGGCGCTGATGTCAGCGCCAGCACCGCGTTTTTTGCTGTCGCCTCCCTAGGACCAATCTCCAGTCGCACCCTCACCCCTTTCTCCTCCCTGGACCGCACGGGGTGCAAGAAGGGCTCAGGCTCGCGGGACATGGCAGGCCGCGGAGCGAGTGCAATTATGCAGACAAGGCACGCCACTGGGATTCAAAGTGCTGACCACCGAGCTGCAGGCCTGAGCCTGGCTGGGTGTTGATGTCGAGGACTTGAGCCGCAGCCCACCCGCCTCGCTCCACCCTCAGCAGCACCAGCCGTAATGCGATGCTGCAGGATGCTATTCCCGCAGGGGCACTGCACTCTCTAACAATCTTCAGCAACCACTCAACCCCCATAGACTCACCAGTTGCGGTACTTCTGGCCTGGCGTCAGCTCGTTGGTGGTGTCACAGTCGCAGCGGATGCCCGCGGCCCTGAGATCCGCCTGTATCCTGTCAGCCAACTGGAAGATGGAGTCCTGCTCCGCATGCTTTTGCTTCCAAAACACGGGGATGATGATGACCTGCATGGGAGAGGGAACAAGAACGTGGGAGGTAGATGAGTGGGTTGCTTCTTAAGACTGTCAGCGGACTCTTTCCATGCTGGTAAAGGCGACAGCCACATTGGCGCCACAGTCTCTGTGGGAGAATGCCAAGCCCAGGATCCTGCTTGGGCCTATGTTGTGCCACTCACAAAGTGCGCAGGCCCCTTCACTCCCCATTACCCCACACTCTCTCCCAACATACAAAATCACCTGCACAGCCCGGCGCGGCTTGTGCGATTTTTTGAGCTTGGCGCGCTGTGGGTTGTACACCTTGCCCTCAGACTGGAGCTTGAGGGCCATCAGCCGCAGCTCCCGTTGGCGCGCTCGCCGGGCAATCTCCTCGGGGGGCAGGGTCGAAAGGTCCACATTGGGTGCACCCCGCCGCCTGCATTGGGTGTCAGGTCCAACAATGAGCAAGGCGCTCACCTCCAGGCGGGCTCAGGGGTGTGCGAGCGGCTGAAGGCTGGAAATGTCATGGAGAAGACACATTTGGCTTGCTCTGCATGCGACGCGATGCAAGCTTCCCTCAAGGGTCGCTCACCTCTTCTTGCCGGTGGAAGAGGGGACCACCCGAGGCTGAGCATCTGCATGGTGCAATGAAGGGCCCATCATCAGGTCTATACCTCTGCATGCATGCTCAACCTCCGAAGACCATTATTAAGCAGTGAATTATGTATCCCTTTGGTGCGCCCTTGCCTGCCATGGGAGTACTCGTCTACGTCGAGCGCAGAGTGGCCGTCACCAGAGTGTCTAACCCAATTTCTTCACCGCGGATCCCTACTTCCTCTTTTGCCCAACAGGACGAAGTTTAACGAGAAACTGTAGCTAGCAGGGTTAAAATGCACGCTCATAGAGAGCAAAGAGCAGTAAAGAGACACCAAGGGTGCGGATTCTCGGGGCAGTCGTGTGCTGCGACCCTGCTGTGTTACGAAGTGCTAGATGCCGGGACCGAGTGCATATGGACTGGCAAGAACATGATTCAAGCTCATCGGTTTTGAACATGCTTATCAAGCCACCATGCCACAAATAAGGTGAATGTCGCGCAAATCCCAGAGCAAGAGTCTGCTGGGCGGCAAGAGCATAGTCCACCGGGACGAGTCGGTGGCAGGGCCAGAGCACGACTACTTGGCCTTCTATGAGGGTACGCACCCAGGGCTTAGTTGTGCTTGAACAACTTGATTCCAATGCACGTCAGTCAAACCCACTCCATGCTATCCCTGCAGTGCCAAACTTTGATGGCCTGCGGTGGGGTTCCGTGTCCCGCACCCTCAAGGGGGATGCGGCCACATGGCACTACTACACAGGTGAGTGGGGAGAAGCCCTCGCCATGCCTCTACGCCTAATGGCTGCAGGAGCAGGCATCCTCCAGAACGAGTCAGACAAACCCCTTTCTCCCTCTGCAGACGAGCACGCACCATTGGGCGGGAACGAGGGGACCCCCTACGTCGCTCGAACCTTCCTCTCGCTAATCACATGCTCCTCTTACCTACCGCCCTTCTCAAAGGGCAGGCAGTCGACCGGCACCCCTGCTCGGTGCGGGTCTGCTTCTTGTTCCGCAGACTGTGTGGGTCCTTGGCGTTGGGTGGCTGTGCAGAGCAATGCAGCAACCTGCAAAGAGGCCGACACAGCCAGCGGTGGTGCTGTGCCAGCTGCGCCTGCCGCTGCACCCAAACCCACCCCAGGCTCCCTTCCCCCTCCTCCCCTGTAGGTTCAAGGGTCGGTCCATATTCGGACTGCCCCTGATTGACCCCGACGATGCTTTCTTTCGTGGCTGGGAGCTCTTCATGACGCTGATCGACCTCACCTACACCGCCTTCCTGGTTCCCGTATCTGTGGCTTTTGACAAGGTGGAGGGCTCTGGCTCATTCACCTGGATCACCTACATGGATATGGTCGGCTGTGAGTGGGACAAAGGGATGGGTGGGAGGGGGAAAGGGGGGGCGGGGGCGCGGTGGACCTTACATTAGCGGCTCCTGTCTCTTTCTACTGTTCCTGGGTCTGCCGGGGCTCGAGCTGTCAGGCCGGCTTGCATAGTGATGGCGCCGGTTATCTTTACACCATCGTCATGTTGGCTGGGTTTTTGAACGGCACCCACACCCCCACACCCTGCAGCCGCCATCTACGTGGCGGACATGCTGCTGAATTTCAGTTCGGCATTTGTGGTGCAGTGGGACCTGAAGCACATGCTGATTATGGATGGGAGGCACGTCGCCTCCTACTATGTCCTACATGGCGGTTTCCTGGTGGATCTGGTCGCAAGTGAGTCGCGAATGGAGGGACCTGCGTGCTTGATGGTATCTTTGACCAACTGCGTTGATGATGGCTTGCCCGGGACTCTCCGAACTGCACTGAGAGTCTCTGCTGAGAGCTCAGATCCTCCATTCTGTGGTGCGCTGGAGTTCCTGTCGATCTTAGAGGTTTCCTCCACGCCACCTGCCTGCCAGCCCGGACAATCCCCCCAACCACCCTTCGCAGCCCTGCCAATCATCCCAGAGGTGATCATCGCCGCCTCGCCCTCCGCCAACGCCCCAGGGCTGAAGGCCATCTACGCGCTGCGCCTGCTGCGCCTCGTGCGTGTGGTGCGCCTGCTCAAGGTGCGGCCGGTTCAGGGAGGAAAGCACGAATTGCATAACATGAGATGGCATGCATGCTGAGCTCATCTTCGCTCAACCCCATCCCTGCACAGGTAGTGTTTGGTGCAGACCTGTACAAGAACCCCTTCTCCCGGCTCCTGATGAAGTACATTTCAGCGCCCGCGCTGTACCTGACATACTTGCTCATGGCTGTCTTCATCATCGTCAACCTGCTAGGCTGGTGAGGCGATGGGTTGCTTAAGAATCTTAAGGAGGGTCGGGTAGTAGGGGGCCCAGGCATCAGTGGAACACTCTGCTCCTTGGCAGGGGCCTGGCAGGCAGGTGTTCTGCACGCCGCGCGCACAGGGCCTGCAGACAAACACTTCCTCGATATGATGCTGAATCACAGCCTGTCCCCATCTCAGTATCCTGCTCTTTGTCGCGGAGATAGAGGGCGAGCAAAACTCCTGGATGGCCTACGCCTGTGAGCCAGTGTACTGAGCTGGGTGGAGGGTGGTCCGTCTGCTTTGGTCCCCTGATTGCTCGCGTGTCGCCCTGCGCTGGGCTGTATGAACGTGCATGCCCTGGGTCTTTGGCTACGGTGTGCGGCTCCCTTCACCACATGTTCACATCATGGAATTGCAACTGCACACGACTACCCTTTCCCGCTGGGAATGCAGCCTTCACTTTCAACGTCGTGGACGCCAACGGCTGGGCGCAGTGGGTGGTGGCCATCTACTGGGCCTCCCAGACACTGACCACTGTCGGGTGAGGGCGGGCTGCGGTGGATCGAGGGAGCAAGGGAAGGTGCTTGAAGGAGCACGTGGCGATGATCGGCCTTCCTCATGGCACCGGGCTCGCCTCCCCGCACGCATGGCTGGGTTCATTGAGAATACCTCGGGTCGTCCAGTGAATTCCGACATGTGGCAGCAGTGTCACAGGAGGTCGCTGACCGGCCTGCCAGCCCAGCACGTCCACCTGTTCCCCTCCCAGCTACGGGGACGTGGTGGCTGTGACGGTGGCGGAGGCCCTGATCAGCTCTGTCGCCATGCTCCTCGCCATCCTCGTATTTGGGTGAGCGGGCCTGCATTGCATGGTGTGCGGGGTCCCTCCCACCGACTGGGGAATTGCCTGCCAGGGCTGGCTTGGCATGCCTGATGGTTGACTGATGAAACATGCACCGCCTGCCCAGCGCCTGATCCTCCAACCCCCGGAATGCGCAGCTTCATCGTGAGCGTCATTGGCGACCTGCTCACCGTGTCCTCCCTGTCGGCCTGGCGGGGCCAGCAGATACGACAGCAGCTGCAGGGAGTGGAAGCGTGGGGCAAGGTGGGCGGGGAGGGGGCCACATTGGACCTTCTGCCTAGGTACTGGCAGCTGGGCAGATGAAGGGACCAAAAGCTGGCATGCAGGCCAGATGCCGGCCCCATGTCCTGCCTGCACTCCCTGCTGCGATCCCCCATCGGAGCCACACGTTGGCTAGCTCTTCATGTGGATCCCTTGCCACCCACCCGATCAGGAGCGGCATCTGGGTCCAGACGTGATGAACAAGATCCGGCGCTACTTCATCGACATCTGGGCACCGCACGCAGGTGGGGGGCAATGCAGGCGTTGGATCTGCCCTGCGTGCCACCCGCCTCAGCCCCCACAAGCGTTATTGTAGCTCACTCCACATGCCCACCACTCCCATCCTTGCACTCCCATCCCCAGCACACCCCGCCCTCCCCTTTGCCAGGGTTTGACGACGCCGCCTACTTCTACTCCCTCCCTGTCCTGCTGCGCGGGGAGATCGTGAGCAAGATGTCGGGCCACACTCTGCAGTCCAGCCACCTCTTCAGTGGGCTGAGCTCAGAGGTGGGTCCATGGGTGTCGACTGGAGTGTGCGGTGCAAATCGATTGAGAAGGACCGGGCATGGCCGCGATACCTTGCGCAGTGCCTTGACGCATGCAGCATGTCTCACAGAAGGCTGTGGAATGGCTGGGGCTGGGCCTATGTCATATCTGGTCCATGAGCAGGGTCCAATGTCCTGCAAGGGTGATTGCATGTCACCATCACCACCCTCCGTGGCACCATCTGGGTGAACCTCAACCCCCAGTTCCACCTCCAGCCCTGACCTCGTCCGCTGCAGGTGCTGGGGGGGCTGCTCTGTTCTGCAGTGCCCCGGCGACTCGTGGCCGGCCATGACCTGTATGCGGAGATGTCAGAGGGGGAATCCTTCTTCATCCTGCAAGAAGGTGGGGGTTTGCAAGGGATCAGGCGCCGGGGGTCGAATCCAGCCTGCACTGAACACTTTGAATAAGGAGTTCACCGAGCTCAGAAGTGAGAGCCTGCAGCATGCCGCCCAGTGTGCAGTTCTGACCGCATCTTGAAGCATGCTGTGTTCCATGCAGGGGGACGAGGCGTTGGCTGTGCTGCTACAAACCCCTGGTAAACCACTCGTCACCCCCTTGCAACAAAGCGCAGGCCAGGCAGACGCATACCGAGGGAAGAAGTTCTCGCGCAGCTTTGTCGGCCCAGCCATATTGGGGCAGGGCGCCATATTCTCGCCTTACATCAAGCTTTGTAGGGAACGACAGCAAACCAGTGAGTCTGCAAGCAGGGAGAGTAGGGGGGGGGGGGGGCGGCAAATGTGATTGTGTGTATGAGGCTTGGGACCAGCCTGCAGCCTTCTGCATGAGTATGAGTCACATGAGGAAATAAGCCTCCCCTGTGAGCAGGCCACAGATGTATGTCGTTGGTGATTCAAGCGTATTTGCCTTCTGCGCACTTGAGGTCCGGCAAGGCGATCGGCACCCTCGCCCCACCCCCCTCCCGCAGTTCGGGCATGCTCAAACTGCATCCTCTGGGAGTTCAAGTCCCTGGACCTCCAGGACATCATACGCAGCGATCCCAGGGTTCTCGTGCATCTCTGCAAAGCCTACATCCAGGTAGGCTGCATGGGATGGTACGGGTGGGTGGCGCTCGTGGTGTGCGCCCGCCCCCAGGGTTTGGCTGTTGGGATGCACGCCTGCCCTGCATTCCCACACAGCATTGATTAAGTCAGGTTTGGTCACACAAGGAGTGCACTCGTGGAGTCGAAATTTGATCACTGTATTAGATGGAGGTCTTTACCTTACACCCTACAGAGAGCCCATCGCCTCGCCTCGACACACTTGCCACCCTCGCACTATGCCCTTGCAGTACCAGGACATGCTGGCAAGCCGATTACAGGGTAGGCACGCCGCCTCGAGCCTGGGGCGGCTGTACAAGATCCGGGCGGAGCTCTGCAGGCTGCTCGCCAAGGTGAGTGGGCGTGCTGAACGATGTCCCTGCCGTCCACCCTGCCTGGCCCTCACAGGCGCATTGGTCTCCGGCTGCCACCCCCTGGCCCCACTCCCCATCGCAGGCGGAGCGTGATGCAGCTGCCTGGGAGGAGGAGGATGTGCAGAAGGACCCTGATGAGCCTGGGGTGCCGTCGGATGGAGAGGAGCAGATCCAGGACACCGACCAGCAGCTTCAGAAGGCTGAGGACGAGGAGGCGCCGGATGCTCCGCCACATGGGGACGCGGGCGGTGCACTGCCTGCCCCCGGCTCCACGGAGGCTGCTCCCCCCTTGCCGCCCGCCGCACAGCTCATCATGCAGGGCGAGCCACACCTGGCGCGGCTGAGCTTTGCACACCCAGGCTACACCGAGGACAAGGCCGCCCAGCTGCGGAGGTCTGGCTTCGGCAACATGCCCGGCGGGAGCGGGAGGTACGCCGTGTGAGCGCCCCAGACAAACTCCTGCGGACCGAGCCTGGCTGCTTGCCCACGCACATGATGTTGTGGCGGCTCCAGTGCGCACTGGCCTGGGAGCCCATGTGACACGGGATTCTGGAAGCTTGAGGAGGTGTCGCTGAGGAAGAGGCACAAGTGGAGAGGGGTGTGTGTGTGTGGTGCATGGGCTCCGCGTATTTGCGTCGGCTGTTGTTTCGACCCAGGAACCTGCCAAAGGTGTCGATGTGGTTTCAATGGAGGGAGTGCAGGACAGACACCAGTGGTGCGATGCAGCCTCACAAGCGGTTCAGTCGTCCCGGTGGAGGGCCGCCTCCTGGAGCAGGGCACGCCGGGTTGCCCCCGTCCTCGCCGCCGCCTGGGCGCGGCAGCTGCCAGGGCGCGGGTGGGGGCCGCAGGGCGGAGCCAGCCTGAAGGCGTGGGGCCGCCGAACGCCGCCCGCCTCCTCCCCGCCCGCCTCCTCCCCGCCCGCCTCGCCTCCTGTGCCATCTGTGCAGGGAAGGGGTCGTGCTTGCGCCACCCCTTGTACTCCTTCGGACGTCGGCGAGCTGGGCATCGCCTCGGCGCTGGCACAGACACAGGGAACGGCCTGTTCTGCAGCCGCTCCCATTCCCCGCTCGTCGGCACATGGAGGCCCCGACGCACCCTCCGCCGCCGCCCTGCGCGCAGCGGCCAGGCGCTCGCCTCTCGCCCCCGCCGCCCGCTCGCGCCTCGCGTCGCGCAAGCTGCGTTTCAGCGCCCTCGATCGCGAGCGCGCGGCGGCCGCCGCGGCCGCGGTCGCGTGGTCCCACACTGCACCACGCGCGCCGTCGGCGGCCACCACCCAGGCCCCGCCGAGCGCCGCGCAGCGGCAGGGCTGGGAGGTCAGCGTGCGGACAGAGGCGGCGGTGGGCGGGGTGGGGGCATGAGGGCTGCGTTCCCCGGCGCCCAGGGCCTCGCAGGTCTCCAGCAGGAAAGCACCGCAGCGGGAGGTGGCCAGCAGCCAGGGGAACTGCCAGGACAGGGAGGTGATGGGCGCGTCGCGCGCCGCGCCCGGCAGCGCCTGGACCAGGACCCGTGGGTTGCTGCCGGCGGCCGGGGGAGCTGCCACGTTCAGAGCCAGTAGCCTGCCAGACTCTGTGATGTTATACTTGAGGGGGGAAGAGCGTGATGCCAGGGTTGCATGAGGCACATGGGGATTTGGTGGGGGCTTGGCACTCACACACACCGTGACCTGCTCACTCAGGGGGCACCGTGTGCATTCCTGCAAAGCCAGTCAACACTGGATGCCATGTACTCATTCACACACGCCCTGGCTCCCTTCCAGAATTCTCCTCCTTTGCAACACCCAGCCCAGACCCACCGTCGCCAATGATGGCCCACGACCCTGTGCTCGGGCTGCAGCCAAGGATGGCGGTGACGGTGCTGGTCATGGCATACTCCTCCTCCTCCCGCTCACTTGCCTCCTCTGACTCACGGGCAGGCCCCCCATGCAGCACAGGCTCGGCATGGAGGCGGGCGGAGACGACACGGTTTCCCGCGGCCACCAGCAGGCGCCCGGACATGAGCGCGATCCCCACGATCCAGTCGCCGAGGTAGAAGGAGCGGCACACCGTCTGCGACGTCCGGTTGACCTCCAGCACCGAGCCATCCCAGGAACCACTGCGATTATTGTGACATGGGGTGAAGAGTGGCCACTCGGTGGCAAGTTTCTGGGGTGATCGGACAGCGATTCTGCCCTACCCTCTGCCCAACTGGACCACCGACCTGTAGACAAAGTCCAGCGAAAGCTGCAGACTAGACACGGGTCCGCCGTGCCTCGCCAGGGCCAGAGGAGGCTGCTCCAAATTGTAGTGGGTGGCGCACCCCGCACCGGCCTGCGTCCAGGCGCTGACGCACCCGTCGCTGCAGCCGCTCACCAGCCAGCCCTCGTCCAGGCTCACGGCACGGACGGTGCCGCCATGACGCAGCGGCGGCCCCACCCTCGTGCCCGTCACCAGGTCCCAGCAGATGAGCGTCCCATCGTAAGAGCCTGGCGCAATTGGTGCACAGAAGTTGGGGGGGGGGAGAGGGGTGTGACATTGTACGAGGCAAAAAACGGGAGCAGGTTGGGCGTGCCACCCAGAACCGCCACCCAGACCTGCCACCCAGACCCGCCACCCAAACCTGGCCCCACCCCGCAAACACAAACCCACCCACCCACGCACCCGTGTACACCAGCTGGCTGGAGGCCAACACTGCGACGCACTTGATGTCCTTGGAGTGACCATGCATGCTGGTCCGGGTGCAGCGCAGGTCTAGGGACCGGGCCTGGGCCATGCGGGCTGAGAATGCCAGCTGCCAGGTGGGAGACACCCGGGGGTCCTGGGTGTGCCACAGCTCGGCATAGCGGGAGGCCCAGGAGAGGGAAGAGACCACCCTGTGCCATCGTCTACAGACCAGGGCGGCCGTGCACGCCTCCCTGGAGCTGAGCAGCTCCAGGATATGGAGCAGGGTGTCGGAGGGGATGTGCCGGACAGCACATGCTCCCTCCACGAGCACCATAGCCCCTGCTGGACGATCAGGTGGGCCGCATGATGTTATGAAAACTGCAATTGTTCTTCCTGTGGCTCAAAGGAGTCCCACGGTGACGAGCCTCTTGCCTGTACAAGGACTCTCGACTGATCAGATGGAGAGGGTGATACTGCAAGGTACCGTCATTTAACACTCGCCGCCCGATAGGTACGCTGGAGGGTCCATGACCCGGTCCTGGCGCCAGGGCGCAACCTTTCACAATCATCCCACTTGGGAAGCAGGACAGGAGAAGAAAGGCCACCATGGTGCGGTCGCTTGAAGGGCTTGGTGGTGGGGATCAGGGCGACGGCACCGGTCTCCCATCCTCAGTGGCTGTGCCCTCGCATGTCTCCTCGCAGGCGTCCAAGTTCTGGGGCAAAGGCTCTGACAGCGAGGAGGAATCGAGTGAGGAGGAGGAGACCACTAGCAGCGAGGAGGAGAGCTCGTCGGAGGGAGAGTCCAGCGACTCCTCCTCCTCCTCCGGATCCTCCGATGACTCCAGCAAGCCCAAGAAGGGCGGCGCCAGCCGGTGCGGGGTTTGGTGGGTCAATTTGCAATTTCAAGGATTGCCGGAGGACCGAGGGCGCGGGCATGGGCAGGGGATGGGGTGTGCACTTCTGAGTGTGACCCAGGTCGTGATTGCATGTATATGGGATGCCCTTTGTGCGCAGCGCGTCCCTGGCCTCTGGAAGTCGTTCAGTGTCCAGATGAATGCGAGGAGTCCGCATGCTGCGGGCGGAGCTCGACTGAGTTCATGCCTGCCCCATACTACGGGACCCCTAAGCCCATTTCCCCTCCCGATGCCCAGCCCCCATCTCACACACACACACACAGCTTCCTCATGGGCTCGTCAGACTCGGAGTCGGAGGACGAGCGGCGCGTGGTGAAGAGCGCCAAGACCAAGGCGGTGGAGGAGCTGCAGAACACGTGCAACGACATCCGCAACAAGATGAACATCAACGACTGGTCGGTGATCCAGACGTTGTTCGACAAGCTGAACAAGCAGCTGGAGAAGACGATGAAGGCCACGGGCGCGCTGGGCGTGCCCCGCGTCTACATCCGCCTGCTGGTGGAGCTGGAGGACTTCCTGGCCAAGACGCTGGCGGAGAAGCCCAAGCTGTCGCCCACCAACACCCGCGCGCTGAGCCGGATGAAGCAGCAGCTGCGGCGCCACAACGCGGGGTACGCGGAACAGATCGCGGCCTTCCGCGAGAACCCCGTCTCTGACAGCGAGCCGGAGAGCGAGGCTCCGCCGAGTGAGCCAGACTGTGAGTTTGGAGTCCTTTTATTCTGCCCTTCTTTGTTTGGGGCGTGGGGTGGTTATGATTCCATGGGGGTGTAGCACACGCGGTCATATCACCGTGAGCGGCTCGTGGTAGGCCCTGCCCGGCCCCATTCTTTACCCCCTTCCATGCCCCCCCCCCCTCCCTTAACCCCCTCCAACCCAAATACAGCCGACTCAGATGACGACGGCGCGGCGGCGCGCGGCGCCGAGTCAGACGACGACGGAAAGTTCCGGCTGGCGCGCACTGGCGTGGTGGCGCGGCCCAAGGACCGCGTGCTGACCATGGACCCCAAGGAGATCACGTACGAGGTGGTGTCCAAGAAGCTGCGCGAGATCGCGCTAGCGCGGGGCAAGTCCACGCGCCTGGACCGCCAGGAGCAGGTGGAGATGCTGGCGCACCTGGCGGGGCTGGCGCGCGGCCCGGCCCAGCGCCTGCAGGTGCTGGTGGCCAGCCTGACGGTGGTATTCGACATGAATCGCCCCACCCAGGCGGCCATGACGCCCGGGAACTGGGCGCGCTGCGCGGCCACGCTCTTTGACATCCTGGCCCTGCTGGAGGCGCACCCCGAGCTGGAGCTGGTGGACTCGCCGCCCGAGGACGACGAGGCTGGGGGGTTTGAAGGCGGGGCTGCAGCGGGCGCGGCGGGCGCGGCGGCGGCAGGCGAGCCCGCCCCCGGCACCCCCGCCCGTGTCTGGGGCAACCTGGCGGCCTTCCTGGAGCGCCTGGACGACGAGTGGAACGGGAGCCTGAAGGGGCTGGACCCCCACGCGCACGAGTACATGGACAGGCTGCGCGACGAGACGGTGCTCCTGGCCCTGGCGGCGGCCGTGGCGCAGCGCTGCGAGGCAACGGGGGCTTTTGGCGCCCTGGCCACCGTGTCCTTGCGCCGCATCGACCACCTGTACCACAAGACGGCGCCGGTGTACGCGGCCATGCGCAAGCTGGCAGAGCTGCAGGCCGCGGCGGCCGCCGCGGCGGGCGGCGATGTGGCCGCGCCCGGGCCCGCCGTCGAGGAGGAGGAGGGCGGGGCGGCGGAGGGGTTCGAGCCCCGCGACGGGTCCGCCGCCGGCCCTCCGCCGCCGGTGGTGCGCCTGCCCCCGGGCTTCGCGCTGCCCGCCGACGCGGCCGCGTCGCTGGAGGCCCTGGTGCGCACCGTCTACGCGCATGGCACCGACAACCAGAAGGGCCAGGCGCTGCTGGCCTCGGTGTACTGGCGCGCCGTGCACGACGACTACCACGGCGCGCGCGACCTGCTGCTCAGCTCCCGCATCCAGGACCAGACGGGCGCTCTGGAGAACCGGCTGCAGGTGCTGCACAACCGCGCGATCGCGCAGCTGGGCCTGGCCGCCTTCCGCGCGGGCCTGGTGCCGGACGCCCACGCCTGCCTGGCTGACCTGTACGGCACCGGGCGGGTGAAGGAGCTGCTGGCCCAGGGCATCCAGGCGCACCGCTACGCGGAGCGCAGCCCCGAGCAGGAGGCCATCGAGCGCCGGCGCCAGGTGCCCTTCCACCTCCACATCAACCTGGAGCTGCTGGAGAGCGTGTACCTGACTTCGGCCCTGCTGCTGGAGGTGCCCCACGCGGCCGCGAGCGGCAACGCCACGCTGGCCGGCGGCGAGCGGCGCCGCCCGCTGTCCAAGCCCCTGCGCCGCCTGCTGGACAACTACGAGCGCCAGACCTTTGTGGGGCCGCCGGAGAACGTGCGCGACCACATCATCGCCGCCGTGCGCGCCCTCAGCACAGGTACGAGGTTTTGGTGGTCCTGTGTCTGGTTGGTGGGTGGAGGTGTGGGAGGGGGGGGTTGTGGGAGGAGGGGGTGCATTCCGGATGAGGAGGTGCGTCGGGGAGGGTAGTGCACACCAAACCCCTACACGCAACACGATGCCCCCTCAGGCGACTGGCGCAAGGCATACGGCTACGTGTCCTCGCTGGCATGCTGGGCGCTGATGCCGCAGCGCGAGGCGGTGCTGGACGCCCTGCGCGACCGATTCAAGGTGGAGGGCCTGCGCACCTACCTGCTCACCTACGCGCGCTACTACTCCTCCCTCTCTGTCGCCGCGCTGTGCGAGATGTTCGACCTGCCGGAGCGGCGCGTGCACGCCGTGGTCTCCCGCCTGCTGGCCGACGAGGCGCTGGCCGGCGCGCACGACCAGCCCACCGGCACGGTGGTGGTCCGCGCCGCGGAGCCCAGCCGCCTGGCCGCGCTGGCCGCGGGCTTCGCGGACCGTGCCGCGCTGCTGGTGGACCTGAATGAGCGCGCGCTGGCGCTTCGCACCGGGGTGCTCCATGCCGATGAGGAGGACGGCGAGGGCGGCGGCCGCGGCCGCGGCGGCGCCGGCGACGGCCGGGGGGTACAACCGGCGCGGGCGCGGCGGGCGCCACGGCGGCCTGGGAGGCGACGGCGGGCGGGGCGGCCGCGGCGGGCGCGGCGGCCGCGGCCGAGGCGCGGGCGGCAGCTACCGCGCCAACTTCCTGGCCGAGCCCGGGTTCGGCGGCGGCGTGTACGGCCGGGGGCGGCCCGCGCGGCCCCAGCAGCGCGACGACTCCAACTTCAAGCAGCTGGGCAACTGGTACGGCGGGCGGGGCGGCGGCGGCCTGCGCAACTAGGGCAGCCCCGGTTTGTGTCTGCGCGAGCGTGCCCCGCGGCACGCGGTGCGCGGCCGACGCTCAGCCCCTCCCTCCCCCCTCTCCCCCTGCTCTATACCCCTGTCCTGCTGCGACACTGCCCCCTGAAACCGGAACGGCGATGCTGGAGGTTGAAGCGTGGGACAGGAAGTTGTGGTTTTTCAGCTTGGCGCCGATACGTCAGGGGAGGAACAGAAGGAGAATGGTGTACTTATACAAAGGGGGGGGGGGCTGCCACAAGGACAGTGTCGAGTCGTGCAGGCGCACCAGCGCACACACACATGCAGGGTTCATGTACGTCCACGGCCGACAATCCCCTCAGGGCTCCAGGGCGGGTGAGCCGGGGTCCGACCAGGCCACGCCCAGCAGGTCGAACACGCTGCGCCAGGTGGCGGCCAGCTGGCCGCTGAGGGGCCGCACGCCGTCGCCCCAGGCCACCGACACCCGCCCCGCCCGCGCCAGGCTGCCGTCCTGCAGCAGCTGCGCCAGCAGCTCCAGCTCCGCGCCCGCCACGTCCAGGCGCAGCCAGAGGCGGTCGCCGGGGCGCAGCGTGCGCAGCAGCCAGGCGCCAAAATCGAGGGCCGGCACGGACTCGCGCGGCGCGCCGGGCGCCTCGCGCCCGAACAGCGAGGCGGGGTGGGGCGGCGCACCCCAGGCGGCGAGCCACGCGCCCGCCAGCCAGCCGGGTGACGGCCCCTGCGCGGCGGGCAGTGGGTTCAGCGCAACCTCGCCGTCCCGCACCCAGGCCGCCGCACCATGGGTCTGCACGCCCAGCGGCAGGCCGTCGCGCAGCACGCGCAGCGCGGCGGGTGCCGCCTCCCAGGCGTGCACCTGCCAGCCCTCGGCGCCACGCGCGGCGCGGAAGGCGCGCACGCCAGCCCCGGCCCCGGCCCCCACCTCCACGAACACCGAGCGCGGGGGCAGGGGGGTGGGATGCGAGGTCACGCCCGCCACGGTGCCGGCGGCGTCGCCGTCGCCGGGATCGTCGCCCCGCCCGACCCCCGAGGCGACGTACACCTGCCAGCCCCCGCCCGAGTGCGGCGAAGCGAAGGCGGCGCTGCGCCCGTCGGGGCTCCAGAAGGCGGCGGGGGCAGGGGGCTGCGTGGTCGAAGGGGCTGGGCTGCCCTCCCTGTCCAGGGGTCCCCCGCTGAGGCCCACGCCGGCCGAGTACTCGCCGACGAGGCGCAGGCGGCCTGTGCCCAGGTCCAGCGTCGCGTAGCGTCGCCGCTCCTGTGCCACATCCCTGGTCTCAGCGTCGGTGCTGGCCAGGAGGAGCCGGTCTGTGGTCGGGTCTGGGGACATGGCACAGGAGGCCGGGCTCGCGCCAGCCGCTGCGGCCTCTGACCCCGCCAGCCTACGGGTCGGGGGCAGGCCGTCGGCGAAGTTGGCCGGCAGCCTCACCTGCCAGGCGCCTGTTGCTGTCCACACGATCAGCAGATTCCTGGGGCGGGGATTTTTGGTTGAGGGAGGCCTGCTCAGTCACATGCACGCCAGGCATAGGTGTTGAGCTGGAGCATACATGGTGGGCATTGCTGCCATGCTCTCACTAGAATCGGTGGTCTTGCAGCTGGACCCAACTGTGCCGTGCCAGCACAAAGTGCATCCTGGGATGGTAAGTAGATCAAAGGCAGCCCATCCCCACAGGCTGACACTCAACCTTTCTCAGATAGACCCTTGCCCCACCGCCGCCCTGATAAGCACCCCGCTCACTCTGCACGGTAGGCCAGGGCCAGGGGAGGCTCGGGCAAGCGCAGAGCTACCAGCTGGCGGGTCGGCGGCGAGCCCCACACCGCCCCTGCCCCAGCGTCCCGCCACGCCCGGGGCACCCGCGCAACAAAGGCCGTGGCGGCCTCGGGGCCGCTGTCGCAGCCGCCGGCGTCCGCCAGGAACGCCAGCGACGCCGCGCCCGGCGCAAACCGCACCTCTCGCGGCCTCATCGGCCCTGCGCAGGCGCGGTCGGCGCCGTCCAAGCCCATCGCTGCTCCCGCGGCGGCGGCCAGGGACGCAGGGCTGGCGAACTGCACGCTGCGGCGCCCGGCAGCGCGCGCCAGCCACAGGCCACCTTCGAGGGGGTGCGGGGCGGCGAGCGCGAGCAGCGTGCCGCAGGCCGACAGCGCCAGCGGCAAGCCCGGCAGGCTGTGGCTGCGCGCCAGCTGGCGCCGGTCGTACAGTATCGCGCACATGGCCAGCAGCGGCGCGGCACCGCCGGCGGCATCGTCGTCCGCGCCCGCCGCGCCATCCGTCGTCGCGTGCCCGCTGCGCTCCCCTCCGGCCCCACCCCTGGCCGTTCCAGCGCAGGCATCGGCGAAGACGAGCAGCCGCGCCGAGCCCCCGACCCAGCCCAGCAGCACGCTGGCCGCCGGCACCCCGCGGTGCAGGGTGTCCAGATGCTGCCACGCCCAGCCGGCGTCGGGCGCCGCGCCGCCGGCGCCGTCCCGCGCCGTCCCAGCGGGCCGCTGCAGGACGCCCACCGCCGGGGCGCCGTCACCTCGCGGCCCGGCTCGCAGCGCCAGCAGGCAGGAGCCGTCGGGGCACCAGGGCCGCGACCCCGGCGCACCCAGCACTGTCGGGCCCGCGGCGTCGACCCCGCCGCCGGAGACGCGCGCGACGCCGGGGTGGGCGGCGGGCGCCGCCTCGTGCGCCGCGCGCGCCCGCGCCACCGACCCCGCCAGCAGCGCCGCGCGGCGCAGGAGCGCGGCCTCCATGCGGCAGCGCCTGGTCGCCGCGGAGAGCGCGGCCATGCCGCGCGGCGCCAGCACCGGGTGCGCCGCCAGCGGCCTAACCGCGCACACGTCCACCGTGGGGCTGGGCAGGGGCCCGTCCCAGGGCCAGGGCTCCGCGCCCAACGGCAGGGCGGCGCCCGGCGCCGGGGAGGTCGTCGCATGCGCTGCAGCATCTACTCCAGAGGCCTGGCCGCCTTCCTCGACGAATTCTTCAGGGGCCTCCGCCGCCGCATTGCCGCTCGCAAAGCAGCAATCGACGTCGGGGCCCGCCGACTCCAGCATGCGGGGCTGGTCGACGCGGCGCAGGTCCACGCTCATCAGCCACACGCCGATGGAAACGTCCTCGCTGGGCAGGAGCTTGAGGAACCTGATGGGGAGGAGAGCGCAAGGCATCGGTCATGTGTGACCTGGCAGGCGGCGCGCGGTGTGAGACGGCGCGCGACAGTGATCGAGCAGGCAGAGGGCCAGAGGGAGTCCCCTCCCGCAGTCTCGTCCGTGGAGCACCGCTGTGGCGCCATCATGCAGGGGACTGCCCCTCCGAGCCCCATCTCGCAGCGGGCACCGCGGGAGGGCTCAGGTTCTGACCCCATAGCCATGTGCCACCACCATTGCACACCCGTTCAAACAACAGCTCACCCAGGAGCAGCGCTGGCATGGGTGTTGACCTCCAGGACCAGCTGCGCCAGGTCGCGGGACAGGACGTAGCCCCCGCCCAGCATGTAGGGCATGTAGGAAGAAAGGGAGGTGTGGGCGGCGTAGACGGCGTCCACCCTGCCCCGTCGCCGCGGTGGCTGCCCCGTCACATCAACCCTCTCCTGCAGGGAGGCGGTGGGACGCTGCTCCCGCCCCAGGTACAGCCGCTCATGCTCGCAGCCAGGCGACCTGTGCGGAGGTGGGACTGGGGTCAAACAGCGCATTGCTGGGCATGCGTGCAGGTGTGGGGGCCACGGTGGGGCAGGGGTTGGTCACGGGGTAGCAGAGGGCAGGCAGAGCCAGGGACGAGGGTGGTCACCCCCAGCCAGCTGCCCAACGTCTGGCCGGTGTTCCTTCTGTAGTGCACGCAAATTCAACCAAGCGCAGTTTCCTCCTGGAACCCTTCCATGTCCGGCCCCCTCACATGCAGAGGGAGAGCAGTTCCTGCATGATCCCAACAGGGTCGACCCAGGTCGAGTCCTCCGCCTTCATGACAAATGTGGCGCGATGTGCCGTGGTGGCCTCGGCCAGCAGTGCGTGTGTCCTGAATGGGGGTGTTCTGCAGGCAGAGGAGGCCGGAGCAGGTGAGTGTGCGGGACCATGCCGTGCATGCGTGGCTGTGCGTGAGATGCCCTGGGTGGGCCCTGATGCTGCGGGGACTGTACATGATCAGGCCAGAGCTACAGATGCTTGCAGTTGGTGGGCATGGCATGCCGGCATCCACCCCCCTTGGAATTTGCCAGGTCCAGGCAGTATCAGAGGAGCCCGTGTCTGCGCTGGGATGGAGCCCGGGAACAATGCACGTGGCGTGGGAGTCCCACCAATCCATCCATGGCATCCCCAGACAGCCCCAGCCAACCCCATGCACTCACCCGTCTGAGGCTGGTGGGACTATCACCACGTCGCCGTGGGTGTCAGCCTCCTGTGCCAAGGTTGCATCTGGGCCGGGGCCGGGGATTAAAAATCGGACCATCAGCCCGGGGACATGCGCCGATGCCGAGATCCATGACCGTCGCTGTGCAGTGCGGCGGTGCCTCGCCTCAGGGTTGGAGAAGATGCCTGCGGGTTTGTGATGGGATCGGAGTGCGGACGGGCGCGATCGATACCATGTTTGGGTTTCCCCACCGCATGCGTGATCTTTGATGGGGATCTTCGTGCGGTGACTGGGAGTGCGACAGGAGTCAATGCAACGAGATCAACCCCTGGCCCGGAGCAGCCAACCAGCATCGCAGACGCCTGTAGCTCCAGCCAGCCAGGACCTTTCCCTAGACAGGGGTTTGAGACACGAGGACAAGAATATCAATCCAACGCCGGTGCCCACCTATGTAGAGAAATGTTGATGAATTGCAACCAGCGCCTGCAGCAATTTCTGGTGAAGAGAGGAGATCGACTCGCCGCTCGTGCAAGGCTGTCAAGTCATACTTGAGCTCTGCCAAGGTGTCGAGTGTGGCCTGTGCGGTGAGGAGTCTGTTCTGGGGGGTAGGGCAGTGGCCCTGGCTGGACGTCGGGGCCCAGCCCCCCAGCCCAATCCACCAGAGACTGCTCGCAGCCAGTAGCAAGGAGCATGCCATTAGGATGGCACATGTGTACCGCTCTTCCGCCCTCCAACGACCGAAGCGGCGGCCGAGGTAGGGGAGATCACTTCGGGTCCTTGACCGTCGCAGTGGGTACGTCATGCCGCTCACTGTATTCGTGACAACATCTAGTTATAGTTTGTATAAGGAGTGGGAAAGGAGTGGACTATCCGTTGGCGTCCATGGGGCAGCTCCACTCGCCTGCTGGTTCGGACACAACGCCGACCCAGAAGGGGAGCGCTTGAATGGCACGAGGGAATCCTTCCCAGCAGGTGGGCCCTCGCCGTCAACGCAGTCGAGGTTCTCAGTTGGGTAGTGGAAGCCGGCGGTGCATTGCGGGAGGGTGACATTGCAGCCCCTGCCGATCAGCAGCGCGTGAAGAACCCCGGGGACGGTCTCCTCGCGCGCGGACAGCACATACTGTCGACAGTGAGCAGAGGCCTGTCGCTCCATCGTGCTGTTTCTGCGCAATCAGAACCAGCTTATTCGACTCCCCACAAAATGTGGCATTTCCTTTGAAGGCCTCGCCGCCTCCACCTGCATGGCGGAGTCCCTGGCCAGCGGGTTGCGGGGCCTGTCCGTGACCCAGGACCGGTCCCGCACCCCCTCCCAGGCCTCCTCGAGCCCCCGATGCCAGGCCGTGGAGCTGGCCGGCATCGATGACGTGCTAGATGCCCTGCGTGAGGTGACTCGAGGTTGCCTGACTTGCAGGGTTGCCTGCTACATGGGCACGAAAAATGAGGCCGCCTGCCTGACTGTGTGCTAGTTCTGCCCAAGGCAACCCTGGTCTCACCTCCCAATATATACACAAAACCACACACGCGCACACATCCCCCCTCCTGACAGGTGGTGGACTGGCCCATCCGGTACCGGGCAGAGGCCGCTCACCTTGGCGTGACCTTCCCCACGGGTGTTCTGCTCCATGGCCCGCCCGGCGTGGGCAAGACGGCCGCAGTGGCCCAGGTCGCGCGCGAGACGGGGGCCGCCGTGCACCGCGTCGACCCCGGCGACGTCATCGGCTCTTTCCTGGGCGAGTCCGAGCGCCGGCTGCGCGACATCTTCGCTGCCGCGCGGGCCGCCGCGGCCGCCGACCCCTCTCGCCCCGTCATCGTGCTGCTGGACGAGGCAGACGCGCTGTGCGGGCGGCGCTCGCCGCAGCGGCCCCATGAGGCGCGGGTGGTGGGCCAGCTGCTCACCCTTATGGACGGCGCCGAGCGGCACGACCTGGGTTTGTTTGGGGAGTGGGGGGGGGAAGGGGGGGGGGGGGGTGAGGAGGG